TAGAACAGCACCCTCCCTCCTTACTTTTAGGAAAAAACTAAAAACGTGGTTTTGGAGCCAGGCCTTTGGCTAGCGGGCATAACAGCACTTTAGGCACTGAACTCGGACAATAGGATTGTTTGAAAATTGGAAATGGCTTTATGACCTGTGATTATGTGATTTGTTCTATGTGGTTGTGTAATTTTAATTAATATCACTGTTTAATTGTTATGTAATGGATTTTATATTGCTGTTTTATATTGTTGTTTTGATACTGTTGGCATTGAATTGTTGCCTGTATTAGCCGCCCTGAGTCCCCCCTCGGGGGTGAGAAGGGCGGGGTAGAAATGGTCTAAATCAATCAATCAATCAATCAATCAATCAATAAGGTTAGGAGGACAATAGCTTTTTAAACAAGCACCGTGGTCTCCCTAAGGATTTCCCAATCCTCAAACACTCTCTGCTTCATTCGGAAGAATGCCTCACTTACAGAGCTCAGGCGGTGTTGTATTTCAGTGTCAACTTTGGTGGAGAGGTGGCTGCCAAGGTAGCAGAAATGGTCAACATTTTCTAATGTTACACCATTAACCTGTATTTCTGGCATTGTAGAGGGATTGGCTGGTGACTGCTGGAAAGGCACTTGGTTTTCTCAATGTTCAATGACAGGCCGAGCTCCTCATATGCTCCTGTAAAGGTGTTTAGAATGACTTGTAGGTTTTCTTCTGAATGCGCACAGACTACGGTGTCATCAGCATATTGGAGTTCTATAACAGATGTTGTTGTGACCTTGGTTTTGGCTTTCAAAACATTGGAAACCACACATAAGCCTTCAATACCCGAAGGACACCAAGTCTCATTCCGTCTTTGAAGCTTAATGGGGTCTCAGTTAGGCCTTGGAAGGGAAACCACCCATGAACACAGGCAATATTTCAGAGTTTTGAATAGGAAGAAGCCAGCCCTCTTTAGCAGAGAATGGTGAAGACCTTGCAATAGTACAAGTGGCATGATTCCATGGCAGTTTGTTTGTTTGTTTACAGTACTTATATTCCGCCCTTCTTATCCCGAAGGGGACTCAGGGTGGATCACAGAACACACATTCAATGCCGAATATACAATGACAAGACAGGCTACAGAGAGAGAGATCTATAGGCTTTTTTCCAATCTTTCGGAATCTTTGGAGACTGTGCTCTGTGTTCCGACCACAGGGGTTCTGTCTCTCCCATCTCCTTGGTTTGTTCGTAAACTTTCCTCCTTTTTCTGATTGAAAGGCCATGCCTAAAATACCTCCCCGCTTAATATGGTTCCTATTCATCTACTCACATTGCTGTTTTTGGGAGCCCAGCTCCCTGTCCGCTAGGTGAGCAGGGAGCTGGGCTGAAGGTCAGGAGCTCACCTGGCCCGACTTCGAACTGTCAACCTTTTGGTTGGCAGGATTTACTGCAGCTGCAGCTGGTGATTAACCTGCGGTGCTAAAGCCAGCCCTAAAGTTCCAAGTGGTGCCAAAGTGTGTTAATTTGACGGTGTAGAGGCACCTCCTTAGTTGTCAAGTCTGAAATCCAGGACATTTTGGAGCCCCACAGGCTCCCCTTATATTAATATTATTATTATTATTATTATTATTATTATTATTATTATTATTATTATGTTTATTTATATCCTGCTTTTTCTCTCCACAAGGAGACTCAAAGCATCTATCAATGATAAGCAAAGGGCAAGGGACGGTGGGAGCTGAAGTCCAAGGACATCTTAAAGGGCCACGTTATTTTCGTTTTGGGTGTTACTCTGATCCTGCTTCCAGGGAACTCCCTGATCTTGTCATAAAAGAGACAAGAAACATGCAAGTGAACTAGAAACACGTTGCATGAGTTCTGAGATTAGAGACTTCAAAACAGTGCGAGAGTTGCCCTGCTTGGCCCCTCCCATTGGTGGGAGGGGCTAAACACACCAGGATTCAAACCATAGTGTTGAATCCGTACTGGGACTCCCCGCTTCTCAGTCTGTCAATGAGGCAGCATCACAAACCATGGTTTGTTTGTTTGTTGTTTGGGAGGAAATGGATGGAATTAGAGTTGGATGTAATTCCCTTTCACTCCAATAATGTTTTGGTTTGTTTAGCCACTTTCTTTGGGAGGAAGAGCCAGGAGGAATAGTCAGGATAGAGGATGATGATGATGATGAGGGTGTTTACATGGCCCCTACTCTAAACTTTTTAGACTTCCGCCACCGCCATTTGTGTCCTGCTGCTACCACCACTGTCTTATTGCTCCTTTACTCTCCTTTCCATTCATTTCCTTTCTTCTATCTCCCTCCAAAACAGAGGGTATCCTTTCCTCCCTCTTCTTGCTCATCTCCAAAATGGGGGGAAGGAAGAAAGAAAAAAGATATAGCAAAAAGAGAGGGAAGGAGAAAGGGAAGAAAGGTGGGTAGGGTGGTAGAAAGGAAGGAAGAGAAGGGTGAATGAAAGGTGGGCAGGAAACAGAAGGAAYAGAAAGGGAGAAAGAAAGGTAAGGATGAAACTGAAGGAAGAGAAGAAAGGTAGGCAGAAAAAGGGGGAATGAGAAGAAAGGTAGGCAGGAAATTGAAGGAAGAGAAAGGGAGAAAGAAAGATAGGCAGGAAACGAGGGAGAGAAGGGAGAGAAAGAAAAGTAGGCGGGAAACAGAAGAAAGATAGGAAATGGGAAGAAGAGATGAAAGTTAGGCAGGAAACGGGAGGGAGAGAAGAAAGGTAGGCAGGAAAAGGGGGAAGGAAAAGAAATGTGGGCAGGAAATGGAAGGAAGATAAGAAAGGTAGGCAGGAAAAGGGGGGAAGAGAAGAAATGTGGGCAGGAAATGGAAGGAAGATAAGAAAGGTAGGCAGGAAAGGGGGGGAAGAAGAAAGGTAGGCAGGAAATGGAAGGAAGAGAAAGAGGGAAAGAAAGGTAGGCAGGAAACAGGAGGAAGAGAAGGAAGGGAGGAGGAAAGGTAGGCAGGAAACTGAAAGGGAAAGAATTCAGAAAGCATGGCATAGTGAACCTGGGACCGTGGCTTGCAACCCACTGAGTGCTTTTGCCAAGTCCCACTCTTTCAGCCTCAGGGGAAGACAGAGATCAATCCCCTTGGAATCAGTAAACTCTGTGAGAGGGTTGCCTTAGGATCACCCTGCATCTCTAATGACTTGAAGGTACAAAACAAGAACTACAAACTGTAGTCTGACCTACAACAGTCCGAGAGACCCTGAACCGGCCCTCGACAAGTGTAAACGCTTACACATTGAGCCACTCCCGTCATGGGTTTGCCTTCCAGTCCTAAGACTTGAAGGCATCTGTCCCGCCGCCCTCAGGGCTTGGTGCCTGGCCTTTACCGATTTGGCCTGTGACCACCTGGACATTTCTCCTCCACACCTCGGCACCGCTCCCCTCACCAACCCACCGACCGTTCCCCCAATTTCGCTCCCTGACTAACCCTCCCTGTTGTGGTGCTGTGTGAACCCCAGCAGTACGGATGAGGCGCTGTCTCTGGAAGACAAAGACCTGAGGGACCGGGAGAGGAGGATGGCCAATAATGCCAGGGAGAGGGTTCGCGTGCGGGACATAAACGAGGCCTTTAAAGAGCTGGGACGCATGTGCCAGATGCACTTAAAAACAGACAAAGCTCAAACCAAGCTCATCATCCTCCAGCAAGCCGTCCAAGTCATTCTGGGCTTGGAACAGCAAGTACGAGGTACGGCGCCTGGAGGGGGGTGGGTCGGGGTCCTTGCTCCTTCCACTCTTGAGGTCACATGTCTGTGGGCATGCTTCCTGCTCCGTGTGTTCGCCTTTGCATGTGTGTTTCTGCCTGTTCCTGTCGCCCGTTCTGCTCAGTTCTCTTCTATATTGTTCACTGCCCTGTTGATTGCCATTCGGACTGATGGACTCAAACCGTGAGGAGATTCCACCTAAACATTCAGAAGAACCTCAGAGGGTGGTGGACTTTCCATCTTTGGAGGTCCTCCAACAGTGATTGGTGCTTTCCAACCTTATGATTCTGGATGCGGCAAAGCCGCCACCTTTGAGAATCTTCAAACTGAAGTTGGGTTGACATCGTTCAGATTCCACCTAAACGTTTGGAAGAACCCCTTCGTCTCAGGGGGTGATGGACTTGCCATCTTTGGAGGTCCTCCAACAGTGATTGGTGCTTTCCAATCTTATGATTCTGGACATGGCGGACCCTCCACCTTTGAAGGTCTTCTAATTGAAGTTGGGTGGACATTGTTTAGATTCCACCTAAAAGTTTGGAAGAACCTCTTCACCTCAGAGGGTAGTGGACTCGCCATTTGTGGTGGTCCTCCAATAGTGGTTGGATGCTCACCTTTCAAGGGAGCATTTCCGCATGGTGATGTTGGACTAGGTGGCCCTTGGGGTGCTTTCCGACCTCATGGTTCTGGACATGGTGGACTTTCCACCTTTGGGGGTCTTTAAAGTTGGGTGGGCTTCATTCAGGATCTGTGCATTGCAGTTCATAGAGCTGGAAGGGCCATGTAATTATATGTTTTTAATGGTTCTTTACATGCTTTTAATATTATTATGCTGAATGTTTTTAATTGTATTTTTATGAATGTATGGCATCGAATGGTTGCCAATCTGTAACCTGCCTTGAGTCGCCTTAGGGCTGAGAAAGGCTGGCTAGAAATGCCGTAAATAAATAAATGTGGTCCAACTTTTGCCATACAGGAAGAGGCCAGACCAGATGGCCTTCAGACCCTATGAATTGAAAGGCACAGTTCCTTTTGACTTTCCTAACAGATTCTGTGTCCTTTTCCTCAGTCAGGTGGGGAGCAGGTGGGTGCTCCAAATCCAAATATCTTGTTCCTACTTTGGGTTAGTTCTCATGCATAAATGCAGTCCTAGCGGCGTCCCATGCCGGGATCTCTCTCGTGCTTCTGCATCTACCTGTTTTTCTGGCTTCTTCTCATTTTCTGTGGGAAAAGAGGGAGGGAGGCTGGGGAAAGTATCTCTTGCAAGCGGCCTTCACCCCATGTCCGCCGTCGCTTTCTTCTGCTGCAGAGCGCAACCTGAACCCGAAGGCGGCCTGCTTGAAACGCCGCGAGGAGGAGAAAGTGTCAGGCGTCGTGGGGGACCCCCAAATGGCCCTTTCAGCGTCACATCCAGGTCTCGGAGATGGGCACAACCCCGTGGGACATATGTAGAAGGTAAGGCCACCAAACAATCCAATCCATGGATGTCAAACCCGTGAGGGCTGGGCGTAGTACTCAACCTCTCTTAGGTGCCCAAGATCAGGAATGTGATTTGAACCTTGGAATGTGGCTCTGAACCCCCTCAGTGCGTTTAGGCAAGTCCCACAAAGGCAAATACCCTTTGAATAAATCTTGGCAAGAAGACTCTGTGAGAGGATTGTTTGCCTTGGGGTCGCCCGGAATTTGAAACAACTTGAAGGCAACATAACAGAAACAACAACAAACTATAGTCTGGCTCCCAACAGTCTGAGGGACAATGAACTGGGCCTCAGCTTTAAAAGTTTGAGAACCCCTAATTTTGGCATATCACATATGTGTGCCAAGTTTGGTCCAGACCCTTCAGTGTTTGGGTTCACATTGCTCTCTGGATGTAGGAGAACTACAACTCCCCCAAATCAAGGTGAATGTCCCCCAAAGATCGCCAATATTTTTGCTAGTCATGGGGCCTCTGTGTACCTATTTGTCCAATTCCATATGTGGTGGAGTTCAGAGTGCTCTTTGATTGCAGGTGAACTATACATCCCAGTACCTACAACTCCCAAATGTCCAGGTCAATACCCTTCAAAACCCACCAGTTTTCAAATTCGGGCATATCGGGTATGCATGCCAAGTTTGGTCCAGATCCATCATTGTTTAGGTTCAGAGTGTGCTCTGGATGTTGGTGAACTACAACTCCTATAAATCCCTCCAAAGACCTCCAATATGTTTTGTTGGTCATGGGGGTTCTATGTGCCAAGTTAGTTCCAGGTCCTACAACTCCTATAAATCATGGTGAATTCTCCCCAAACTTCTCTAGTATGTTCAGTTGCTGATCAATTCCTCTGTTTGCTGTGTGCCATAGCAAAGAATAGGAAAGGTTATGGGAAAGGCAGTGGCCGAGGTCATGCAAATTCCACACCAATGGAGAGAATCAGAAACACTGGGATGTCCATAGTGGAGGAAACACATAAAATCTAGGATGAAATGTTCCCCGAATGAAAGCCTTCACTTAGGTGGTGGGCAGTGTGGTGTTTGTGGAGGACATTGGCAGGGGTCTTGGACATGTTCATGGCACTCACTATAACCTGCAATGTCATTGGAGGGAAGGTCTTTGGTGTCTCCTGAGTAATGCTAGCTAGAGCCACCACATCACACTATTGACTCACATTCAGCCTGGGTTTCTCCTAGATTCCTTTCACATAGATGTATGACTTCCCTTGAGCTGGACCAGTGTTTCTCAACCTGGAGGTCATGAGGGGGTGTCAGAGGGGTCACCACAGACCATCAGAAAACACAGTATTTTCTGTGTGTCATGGGGGAAGTTTGGCCCAATTCTCTCATTAGTGGGGTTCAGAATGCTATTTGATTGTAGGCAAACTATAAATCCCAGCAACTGCAACTCCCAAATGTCAAGGGCTATTTTCCCCAAACTCCACCAGTGTTCACATTTGGGCAAATTGAGTATTTGTGCCAAGTTTGGTCCAGATCCACCACTGTTTGAGTTCTTTGGATGTTGGTGAACTACAACTCCAAAACTCACGGTCAATGCCCACCAAACACATCCAGTATTTTCTGTTGGTCATGGGAGTTCTGTGTGCCAAGTTTGATTCAGTTCCATGGTTGATGGAGTTCATAATGTTCTTTGGTTGTAGGTGAACTATAAATCCCAGCAACTCCCAAATGACAAAATCACCCCTCCAACCCCACCAGTATCGGGTATTTGTGCCAAATTTGATCAAGTAAATGAAAATACATCTTGCATATCAGATATTTACATTGCAGTCCATAACAGTAGCAAAATTACAGTTATGAAGTAGCAACGAAAATAAAGTTATGGTTGGGGGTCACAACATGAGGAACTGTATTAAGGGGCCATGGCATTAGGAAGGTTGAGAAACACTGATCTAGACGCTATCCCCTTATGGATGCCCTTTTTACTGCCACAGCACACTATTGGCTCACGTTTCCCTTCTGCAGTGGTTCTCAACCTGTGGGTCCCCAGGTGTTTTGGCCTGCAACTCCCGGAAATACCAGCCGGTTTACCAGCTGTTAGGATTTTTTTGGAGTTGATGGTCAAAACATCTGGGGAACCCACTGCCATTGTGGTTATACTTAGACCCCTAGATCTTGCTTCCTTCGAGAACAACATTCTCAAAAAACGTATATCCTGATGTTTGTTTGTTTGTTTCTCCTTCGTTCTTCTGTCCAGACTGTTGCTTTTCTTCACCAGGAAGCTGCCATCTGTCAGAAGAAGGGAATGGACAACAATTTCCCCTCCCTCCTGCCCGCCCGCCTGTCGCATCCGCACCAGAAACTGTAGCTCTGTTTCAATATAGATGTGCGGCAAACGGACATTCCGTGGGTCTCGAAGGAACTTTTTTCTTCTCTCGAACGGAAAATGCAACAACGTCGTTGAATCAGATTTCTCTTTTAAAAAAAACAACTGCAAAGATTGCCTTAAATGTATATTCTGGAACTGTCAGTACATATCCTTCAATTTGCGGAGCGGGGCGGTGCGGGGAAACCTCTTCATTACAAGTGGCTTGTTCACAAAAAGGCCAGCAAAAAAATATATATATTGTGCCTACGCATTTTTATTTTATTATTTTTTCCCTTTTTCTTTTTTTTAAAAAGAACATTAGTTAACGATAATTTTTTTAAAAAAAACGTAGAACAAACATAGTAATGCCTTTTGGGTTTTTTTTAAAGAAAGCTTCTTTTGCATATATGTTTTGTAAGCAACAGTGAAAAATAATGTGTAAAAAATGGACTGAGTGACCGAGAGAAAGAAAGAGACTTGCGATTTCCTCCCCCTTCCCCTGCGCTTTTTCCTTCTTCTCCCCCTGCTGCTGTTTCTCTCATTAATATTGCATATTATTTTTTCAGTGAGTTCAACCTGAGATATTAAAAGTTTGCATTAAGAGACTGGATAGTTTTTGGCAACGAAAAAAGGAAACGAAAGGAGAGAGGTTCGTTTTTGGGCCCTGACAAACTTCCAGCACAGACCTTAGCAATTGCCGCATGGGGCTCATAAACATATAGTAATCCAGAATGGACTGGAATCATCTCTTTTCTTATCTGGCCGCTTTGGATGCTGCGGAGGGTTGGGGGAGCTGCTCCAGGAACCTCGCGATTCTTGGTTCTTTTGTCTTTCTTCCTAAAGGATGTCTATGTCTCTCTATGTGATTCTAAAAAGTCTTACCGTTTGGCTTGTCCTCTCCTGTCTTCCCCTAAAATATATGTGGGAAGAACATCCCAAATGAAGGCGGTGGCTTCCTAAAAATGGCATAAAGACAGCTAGGACAAGGAGGATACAGAAGTCGCCTTCAGAAGGCAAAGAAAGAGATGGATCGCGAGTCGCTTTCAGTGGAATGAAAGGACCGAACGCAAGGATTGTGCTGTCATGTTGGGAGGCAGAACGGAGACCAGGAGAAAAAAGAACAAAAGAGCCACAACCGGCACAAATGAAAGGAAGAGGCGAAAAGGTGAAAGACGTGGCCTCCGAAAAGGGAATCTTGGGGCAACGACACAACATGCTTTTGCAGATTTTTCTAGAAGCTCAGAAAGACTGGCCTCTGAGACCTGTCCGCTGTCTGAATGGCTTTCACAGACGCTTGGCTTGCTCCTCTTGCCACACAGAGAGAACTGCCTTTTGTGAATGGAAGAAGGGACACCTTGATAGGACTGGATCCCCGTGAATCTTTGGTGATGTGGGGAGCGTCGGTGGCTTCTCCGCAGTACAAACGCATAGGGCGGCTCCTCTCATTTGCACCCCATATTGCAAGTCTTTTTTAATTTTTCATATCCCCGAACACCATTTCTGTTCAGACAAGGCATTGTGATGGAGAGAAGGCTGTCAGAAACTGTGGAGGTGCTGCCACCATATCAACTCGGTGTTGCTCTTCCTTCATGTCTGGCCCAGATGTGGTCAAAAGTACCAGCGGACCTACTTAAGGACAATGTTGGGTCATAGCTGTGGAGTAAGGGACTTGGATGTTGACCTTACAAATCATCCATGATATCAAGACCAGTCGGTTGGGCAGATTGTAGAATCAACACATCTTCCACAGTCCCCATAGCTTCAGAGTTATGAAGAAATCCAAACAAGTACCTGATTGCAGCTGCAGACGGTCCTTCGATTTTGGCTTTTGTTAGGCGGAGGAGAAGACTGTCCCTGACACAATGGTCAGGCAGATTGTAGCGTCAACGCATCATTTGCAATCTCCGTAGCTTCAGAGAACCTGAAGAAAAACCCAACGAGTGTCTGGTTGAGGCTGCCGAAGATTTGTCGGGGGGCTGCTTGAATTTCGCCTTTTGAGGAGTGGAAGACAAGCATATCACTGCCATGTGCCAATGACTCAAGAGACCGGTTGACAGAGCTGGGAGATGTAGTTAGTGGCCAATCAAGCCCATCTGGGTCAAATCGAGAAATCAGCAAAGTCCATCGGTCAAAATAATCAGTGCCACAAGGGAGAAACAAAAGCTAGAGGTCAAGAATCCAAATCAGTCCATGAGTAATATGTAATGGAAGATGTCCAAGTTGGGCCAAATCGGTCCAACGAAGCTAAGGAAGATGCGAATTGTTTCTTGTGTGAGGCCTCTGACATTTCACCAAAGATTAGGGAGCCTCCTCAGGGCCCTTGAATGTGGAATTGTGGAGTAAAAGACTTAGATGTTGACCTTACAAATCATCCACGACGCCAAGACCCACAGGGAAGGACCCACTCCGTTGACATTCCTTGTGGCCACATCAGCCAGTTGATGCCGCTGGATTGGTCACCCGAAGCTAAGGAAGATGTCCAGCTGTGAGATTATCGTGACCTGAAAGTCAAAGATGGGCTCATGGTTCCTTGTTTGAGAGGTGTTGACTCTGTTGACATTCCACCAAAGATTGGCCACCGGGACCCTCTCTAGAGCAAATCCTTCTGCGTTCCGTTCTTAAATTTCCATGAGTCTACCCCACCTTCTTGCTCTTCATGCCTATCATCGAAAAGGATTTGGCGTTGGGGATTTTTCTTCTGGCTGGATATGAGGAAATTCCCATCTTTTCCATCCACTCTGTTCCCAAATGCCACCTTCTACGGTCCCGTGGCCATGCCCTCAATTCATCCCAGTTCCTTTCGGGACCTGGTAGTCCAATGAAGGTCTGTCTCATGGAAAACCGAAGCAAACAGGATAGTGGTGTCTTCTCCCCACCATCATATCTTTTTTGCAAGTCGGGGAAAGCTTTGCAAGAATGTCATTCGGATGCAAGAAAAGGCACTCATTTTCCCTGCCGTCACCATCAAGGCTCCCTATCTTTCCAAAGCGGCTTCCATTCAAATGTCTAATCTCTTTTCACCAGCTCAAAAACATGCCTGTTTTTAGTATTTTTTTTTAATTGTGTGAAAATGTCTCTGTTTTGTGAACGGATGGAAGGAGCCCCCCCCCCCTTTTCGAAGGGCGCGTCTACACTACAAGCCGTAAACCAGTTTCATCCGTCTGTAGGAACTGTTCACTCTCCCGTAATCTCTCCCTGTATACTTTCTGGGATTCCTGCATCTCGGCAACGGCTTCGAAGCCCCGTTCAACGTTCATAATCCAGAGGTGTCCCAAAGGATATTTATATTATTATTATTTTGGTCAGGAAGGGAAGGTAGAGCATTTGAGGAGACAACAAAGGGACAACCAGCCAAACAAACAAACAAAATACACAATAATAATAATAATAATAATAATAATAATAATAATAATAATAACGTCTTAGGAAAAACAATTCCGGAAAAAGTAAAAAGAAGGGATCAAGCAACACAGAGAACAAATAATGCAACTTGATTCCTGCTGAGATATATTTTTCTAGGCGGGGAGGGTGTGTATTTTTTAGCCCTCTTCGAAGATTTTGAGGGTTCATTTGGGGGGGGGGTTAGTGTTGTCATTAAGGGGTTTTTTATATGATTTTTTTTAAAAAAATGAGTAAAACGAGTCCTTTGTGGGAAGAAAAGGACAGAAAGCTCCAGTTCATGACTCGTCTTTTGGAGTAAATCAGAGTAAATCGGAGCGTTTACACCACCGACGTGTACAACCCAGCTGTTCCGGAACTGGCTTGAAATCCTCGTTGTTAAATCAGATGACACATTTATAGTTTTGAAAGATATATATATAGTATAAATATATATATATATATATAAACAAAGTATAAATATTAAAAAAACAAAAACGAATATGCCTAACCCTTGATTTTTACGTAAAACAAAAAAATGCTTATTTGGGATGGCGGGAGGGACATTTTCTTTCCTCGTTTTGAACCTCATCACAATTTTCATGGGGAGGTTCGAACGGTGTTTCCGAGTGCCTCAAGATACGGATTGTGTTCGTTTTTTTTTTTGTATAAAAAAACAAAACAAAATAAAATAAAATAATTTTATACAAGTGTTCAAAAAAAGAAAATTTAGGGGGGGAAACCCACACACAGCTGGCTGGATTATTTGGAATTTTTAAATAATCCTTAACGTTTTTTAAAATAAATAAATAATAATTAAAAAAAGAAGTAGACTTTGGAGAACTGTCCTGTATATAACAGTACTGTAGCAATAAATGTGACATTTTTATAACAAGACAATGACCTGTTTTTTGTTTTCTCCCTTTTCTCCCCCATTCTCTGTCTTTCAGATGTTGTATACCTATCGATGACAAAAGTTGTAATAAAGGTTTTACCTTGTACTAAATTGGACTCAAAGGCTTTCTCAATTGTTTTTACACTTTTGTTCCCCAAACTTATAATTGCCAATGTGTTGTTGAAGGCTTTCATGGCCAGAATCATTGGGTTGATGTGAATTTTCTGGTCTGCCTGGCCATGTTCCAGAAGCACTCTCTCCTGATGTTTTGCCCACATCTATTGCAGGCATCCTCAGAGGTTGTGAGGTCTGTTGGAAACTTGACAAGTGGGATTCACCTATCTAGAAATATAAATGTAATGTTCATTTGTGGGGACCCTATAACTCCAAAACCACTGGACACCAAATTTGGTCACAATAACCCTACCAATAAGTGACCATCAATCAAAAAAGCAGTGACAAGGATCTAAAAATCCAAAAAGCTAGAAAACAACAGTGCATGCGTGCAAACAGCTCCCCTGGCAACACCTGGGAGGATACAACAAGCACAAGAGGCACCGCGGAGCATCCTCCGTCACCTCAGAATCCAAACAGGAGGCAAGGGAGGCAAAGATCACCGAGGAGGCCACCTTTCCTCAGGCTGAGGACCTCTACCTCGCCTTCATGATCTGCATGGTCAGACGCCAGAAATGGAAGTGCCTCCTTCCTGGAGGACAGCAAGCTGGAACTCTCACGGCCCTGAAGACTGTGCTTCTGAGTAAAGAACCTTCCTTCCCCTTCCCTTCCCTGCCTCCTTCCTTCCTTCTCTCTATCCCTTTCTTTCTTCTCTTCCTTCTCCTTCCTTTACTTCTTCCCTTCCCTCCCTCTCTCCCTCACTTTCCTTCCTTCCCTTTCTTTCCTTCCCTCCTTCATTTTCTTCCTTCCCTCCCTTCCTTTCCTTTCTTCTCCTTCGTTTACTTCTTTCCTTCCCTCCCTCGTTTCCTTCCTTCCTCCCTTTCCTTCCTTCCCTCCTTCGTTTCCTTTCCTTCCCTCCCTTCCCAACATAAACACACATATATACATACCCACACAGACATTCTATATAAATAAAAATATACCATCCATTTGTGGGGACCTCGTATCTCCCAAACGTTGAGAAACTACAGGTCGCTTCCGGCGTCAGAGAATTTGCCGTCTCCAAGGATGTTCCCCATGTATCACGCAGATCTTTTACCATCCTGTGAGAGGTTTCTCTTTAAAGATATTTGAAGGGTCCAGGGAGGGAAAAAGAACTATTTTCTACTTGAGCCACTTGTGAATGTTGCAACTGCCCATCTTGATTACCTCTGAAAAGCCTTGCAGCTTAAAAGCCTGGCTTCTTCCTGCCTGTGGGAAACCTTTGTGAGGAGGTGTTCCCTAACCGAGATTGTTTCATGTCTGGAATTCCTCTGTTTTCTGGGGGCTACAGCAACACATGGTTGGGTACAGCTAAATATATATATCACCAAGGTTTTAGCACAGCTGGTTAATCACCAGCAGCAATAAGGTTGGGACTTTGAACTCGGGTTGGGATGAGCACACTGTGGCGTAATGTAAAATAAACCACAAGTAGTTCACGTTTCATCAGCCCACACACTGCCTTGCCAGAGAAAGAAAATATGCTATGCAGGTTATCAGTAAAGACCAAGTAGTTTATTCTTCTTAGTTCAGAACATAGGTACAATATGATCAGTTGTATCAACTCACTAAATGTCCTTTTATAAGAGATTTAAAATGGTATCGCTTTATCCATGTAGATAAATCTTCCTCCAGCAGCTTGTGAAGCAAGAGCACCCTTCAAACTGTCACTGCTTCTCTCTTCCTCCCTGTCTGCACCTGCATAGCTCAAGCCTGAACAAAAATGTAACAGTATCCAAAAATCCCAAGCTCAGCTTGCTGCCTGGGCATTGCCTGACCAATCAGCTGCATGCATCTTATTTTACAGTTGACACACACACAATCACTGATTCCTTGCATGCTCCAACACACCCAATCTTCAGCCCAGCTTATGGTTCACCTAAGCAGTTGAAAAACAGCTGCAGCTATGAGTAGAGAAATTAGGCACCGCTTAAGCGGGGAGATATTTTACGGCACCATAAAAAAACGGCGATCAACGAATATGAGGAGAGTCTGATCAAAAAGACTCGTCATCACAGAGGATGGAGCGACAGCACCCCGTTGCCAGAAACGAGCATAACCTCCAGGGCGCCATTGCATATATGTAGACCTAGAGCCCAGGAGCTAATCCTTTTTCCATACTGCCCTTTTGTGTCTGCATCTGAGCACTGCATACATACACAGCTGTAGACCAGTAGCTAATCCTTTCTATCTCTATACTGCCCTCTTCTGGGTGCATCTGAGCACTGCATACAAACCTAGAGGCCAGTGAGTAATCATTTATATCTGCATATTAATAATAGTAACTTTATGCTTCCCTCTTGTGCTGTCTTTGAGCACTGCAAACATTCATACCTAGAGGCCAGTAGCTAATCCTTTCTATCTGTATACTACCCTCTTGTGGCTGCATTTGGGTACTGCATACATATATAGCTATAAGCCAGAAGCAAATCCTTTCTATTTGTATACTGCTCTCTTGTGGCTGCATCCGAGCACTCCAGACATACAGACCTAGAGGCCAGGAGCTAATCCTTTCTTGACAGATCAATAGGCAGATATCAGAATAACTCTCTTTATTTGTCGACATTCACACCAAAAAAGACAAAGAGCAGGAAGAGCAATGGCAAAAGATTCAGTCCCCTTTTGAGTCCGTGTGAGTTTTGCTTGCCAATCTCTTGGGCTCAAAATGGCCGGGTTTTGCCCACCTTGTTCCGCTGACGGATGGTTTGCCTCCGCAGCAGGCGCCAGTACTCCAGCGTGTCTGGATCCAACTCCTCCAGCTTCTTCAGGGGCCCAATATGCATCTGGAAAAGCCTGGGAAGAAAGGACAGAGGGAAGAAACAGAGAAATAAAAGGAAACACCTCCATCACAATTCTACAGGTGTCATTTCAGTTAACCAAGAATGCTGGAATAATAATAATAATAATAATAATAATAATAATAACGTAATACATTTTGCTTATTCCTCTCCTCCCTTATCTATTTGGTTAACTAAGTGTCAACTGTAATTATTATTATTATTATTGTTATTGTTATTATTATTATTAATGTGTTACCTGCCCATCTGGTTAAAAGAATGTCTACTCTAGTAGTAATAGTAGTAATAGTAATAAAAATAATAGATTGTATATGCTACCTGCCTATTTGGTTTACTGTCAGTTGGAATAATAGCAATATACATTGTATGTGTCACCTGCCTATCTGGTTAACAGTGTGTCTATAGTAATAATAACAACAATATTAATAATGTTTTATAATAATTATAATAATAATAATGATATAATAAGTTTCATGTGTTACCTAACTATCTGGTTAACTGTCTATAACATTATTATTATTAATAACCATCATCATTTTTTGTGTTTCCTGCCAATCCGGTTAATAGAGTACATACTATAATAATAATAATAATAATAATAATAATAATAATAATAATAATAATAATATACAGCCAGCATAGTGATCTTGCTTGCTGTGTACTAATCTTGTTGTGTTTCTAATAATAATAAATATATTGTGCATGTTTCCTGCCTATCTGGTTAACAAGAGTGGCTACTGTAATAACTATAATGGTATAGCATAATATAATACTTATATAATAATATATTTTATGTGTTACCTGCCTATCTGGTTAACTGGGTGTCTATAAAATTAATAGTAGTAATAATAATAATAATAATTTTATGTGTTACTTGCCTATCTGGTTAAGATTGTCTACTGCAGTAGTAGTAACAATAATAATAATATATTATTATTACTATACAATCATAATATAATAGTATAATATATGTGTGTCCTACCTGCCTATCTGGTTAACTGAGTGCCAATAATAGTAATAATAGTAATAGTAATAGTAATAATAATAATAATAATTGTATGTGTTTCTTCCTATCTGGTTAAGATTGTCTACTGTAGTATTTTATGTGTTACCTGCCTATCTGATGAGCAGAGTGTCTACTGTAGTAACAACAACAACAAAAACAACAACATTATATTTTATGTGTATTTTATGTGTTACCTGTCTTATCCGGTGAACAGAGAATAACAATAACAGCAATAATACTTTATCTCTTTTAAATGGTCTTTTTGACTTATGATGCTGTATTAATTAATGTTTAACTCTGATTTTGTTGTTGTTGTTGGCATCTAATGGTTGCCGGTTGCAAGCTGGCCTGAGTCCCACTCCGGGAGTGAGGACGGGATATACCATAAATGGCTGACATCTATATAAATAAAAATATAACGTTCGTTTGTGGGATTAACAGAACTCAAAAACCACTGGATGAATTGCCACCAAATTTGGACACAAGACATCTAACAACCCAATGTATGTCCTTCACTCAAAAAAAAATGATTTTGTCATTTGGGAGTTGTAGTTCCTGGGATTTATAGTTTACCTACAATCAAAGAGCATTCTAAACTCCACCAACGATGGAATTGAACCAAACTTGGCACACAGTTCTCCCATGACCAACAGAAAATATTGGAAGGGTTTGGTGGGCAGTGTCCTTTGGTTTTGGAGTTGTAGTTCACCTACATCCAGTGATCACTGTGGACTCAAACAGTGATGGATCTGGACCAAACTCTACACGAATACTCAATATACCCAAATGTGAACACTGGTGGAATTTGGGGAAAATAGAATCTTGACATTTGGGAATTGTAGTTGCTGGGATTTATAGTTCACCTACAATCATAGAGCATTCTGAATCTCACCAACGATAGAATTGGGCCAAACCTCTCACACAGAACCCCCAACGCATGGCAGGGGACGGCTAGTAAATAAATATATTATATGTGTTACCTGCCTATCTGGTGAACAGAGCACCTACTATAATGATAATGATAATAATAATTTTATGTGTTGCCTGCCTATCTGGTGAACAGAGTGCCTACAATAATAATGAGTAAGTAAGTCACATGAAATTACTGCATGGATTATACTTTTAAAAAAACTACACTATAGTGCCCAAAAATTCCTATACAAACCAAGATAATATCTTGAGTTAGTCATTTTTCACAATTTTAAAGTTGCTATTGTGGCTAGTTCTTGAATGGAATGTACAGTTTGCTGTTTATTTACTTCCAGAATTAATGTATTGCAGAAGTTAGTGAATTGTCTGTACTAAGCTTATAGAACTACGTGGGGTTGCCTCTGAAGACTACCTGGAAGCTGCAGCTAGTCCAACGCTCGGCAGCCAGACTACTAACGGGTGCTGGGTGCAGGGAGCACACTACTCCGCTGCTACACCAGCTCCACTGGCTGCCAATTAGCTTCCGAGCACAATTCAAAGTGCTGGTGTTAACCTATAAAGCCCTAAACGACTCCGGCCCGGTTTACCTCTCCGAACGTATTCTCCCCTATGAACCATCAAGATTATTAAGATCGTCTGAAGAGGCCCTGCTCTCGGTCCCATCGGCCTCGCAAGCGTGTCTGGTGGGGACGAGGGACAGGGCCTTCTCGGTGGTGGCCCCTCGACTCTGGAACTCTCTCCCACTGGCGATCAGAACCGCCCCTTCTATCCTGACATTCAGGAAACAGCTGAAGGCGTGGTTATTTATTTATTTATTTACTACGCTTATATACCGCAATTCTCAGCCCGAGGGCGACTCATTGCGGTGTACAACATGAAAACAAGTGCAATTTACAAAACATAGTGCAAAACAATCTACAAATCATCATTATCAGAAACATCTTAGCAAAACATCAACATTACTACAAAATTTCTACTACATTCCGAATTGTCTCATTGTCAGCACACAATCCGATATCATTACCGTTTTTCCATTCCTATGGTCAAATAGCCAGTCAATGCACTTCTTGGTCAAATGCTTTCTTAAATAGCCAGGTCTTTAACTTCCTGCGGAAAGTCAACAGGGAGGGGGCTAGCCTGTTATGGAGACAGGCATTTGACGAGTGAGCCAGATATGGATGGAGGATGATGAACAATGAGTTAGTGTGACGACTGACCATTGTAGTTATTGAATGTAATTGCTGTTTTAATGTTTTAGTGTAAAATGAATTATGATGTTTTTATTAACTGTATGTGTTATTATGGTTGGAAACTGGTCTGAGTCCCTCAAGAGAGGTGAGAAGGTCGGTACATAAAACTTTTAAATAAATAAATAAATGATGATAAGAAGTACTAATATAATATAATTATTATATCATGATATATCTTTTGTGTCACTTGTCTATCTGGTGAATTGAATGCCTACTGTAACATCAACAATAATAATACTATAATACTGATCATCTCCTCCTGGTGGGCTCACCATTCTGGGTATTCAGCATCTGGCTTGAGGGTCACTGGGGGGCCCTCCTTGTAGATGTGGGCCCCCATGGCGTGGGTGGTGAGCAGGATGGGGTCCTTGCAGACTTCGGGCCCTTGGAGGGCCTCTTTGGCGACGCTTTTCCCCTTGGACTTGGTCACTGGCAGAAAGGGAAAACACAGGTTGCTTCTGAGCATGCGCAACAGGGTGAAGCTGGGCTTCCGAGCATGCGCAGAACCGCGTTGTGGCTGGGCGGCTTTCCCCGTCAGGGAGAAGGAAAGCCGGCTCTCCCTCCCGCGGCCAAGGGCAACCCTCGTCCCGGGCCGGACTACACCTCCCGTAGCCCCCTTCGCTTACCGGCCTTCTTGGCGTAGCCCCTGAGCCCGACACCGGGACACAGCGAGGAGAAGAAGCCCCGGCCCCGCAGAGCCAGCCTCGCCCCCAGTCCGCACGCAGCCATGCCTTTACGTGACGTCACCGTCCGCGCGTTACAGTGACATCAAGGCCCGCGCAGAGCGTCCTGGGAAATGTAGTTCCTGCTGTGCTCTCCCCCCAGTCTTTCCTGAAGAGTCCATTATCACACAAATGATTCTCTTGTGAATGAAAAGAAGGAAGAAAAAGGAAGGAAGGAAGGAAGGAAGGAAGGAAGGAAGGAAGGAAGGAAGGAAGGAAGGAAGGAAGGAAGGAAGGAAAAACAAGAAGAAAGGAAGGAAGGAAAGAAAAGAAAGGAAGGAACAAAAGAAACAAAGAAACAAGGAAGGAAATAAAAGGGAAGGAAGAAAAGAAAGGAGGAAGGGAAGAAGGAAGCAACAGCAAAACAACAGAGGGGAAACAAATAGGCACATAAAATCACTCTCAACAAAAGATTCCCCCCATGCACTTCCAAGCCATTGAATGCTAATCAAGGTGATCAGCTGAAACATTCACAGCTAGCCCCAGCAGACAAAAGTCCTTTGTCTCACCCTGGTCATTCCACAGATATATAAACCCATTTTTCCTACTTCCAACAGGCCTCACTACCTCTGAGGATGCTTGCCATAGATGCAGGCGAAACGTCAGGAGAAAAATTGCCTCTAGAACATGGCCATATAGCCCGGAAAAACCTACAACAACCCAGATTCTCTTGTGTTTGCTCCATGATATGATTGTATTATTTCATCTATGTTTTCTTCTGGGTGCTTTGAAGGCGTTTGTTTTATTATTTTATTATGTGTGTATATATGTGTGTGTGTGTTTTCTGCATTTCATGAATTTGTTCTATGTGTTCGAAATGGATTTATTTTGTTTTAGGGTTTAGATGCTTTTTGTTTAATTATTTCATTGTATGTGTTTGCCTCTGCTTTTTCTCCTTCCTCTTTCCTTCGTTCCCTTCTCTTTCCTTCCTTTCTTCTTTTCTTTGTTCCTTCTCTCTCTTCCCTTTCTTTTTCTCTTTCTTTCATCCCTTCCTTCCTTCTTCCCTTCCTCCTTTCTTTTCTTCCTTCCCTCTTTTATGTCCTTCTTTGTTTCTTTTGTTCCTTCCTTCCTTTTCTTTCCTTCCTTCCTTTCTTTCCTTCCTTCTTGCTTTTGTTTCTTTCTTTTCTTCCTTCCTTCTTTTCATTCTTTCTTTTCTTCATTCGTTCCTTCCTTTTCTTTCTTTCTTTCTTTCTTTTCTTCCTTATATTTTCTTCTTCCCTCCCCTCCTTCCTTCTTTATTTTCCTTCTTTTTCCTTCTTCCTTCCTTCCTTCCTTTTTCCTTCCTTCCTCTTCTTTCCTTTTCTTTTTTTTCTTCTTCCTTTCTTTCTTTCTTTCTTTCTTTCTTTCCTTCCTTCCTTCCTTCCTTCCTTCCTTCCTTCCTTCCTTCCTTCCTTCTTTCTCTTTTCTTTTTTCCTCCCTCCCTTCATTCCTTCCCTCTTTATTTTCCTTTTCTTCCTTCTTTCTGCCTTTTCTTCCTTCCCTCTTTCCCTCTCTTTCTTTCCCTTTTTACTCTTTCTTTCATCCCTTCCTTCTTTTCCCCTTCCTTCCTTCCTTCCTTCCTTCCTTCCTTCCTTCCTTCCTTCCTTCCTTCTCCCTTCCTTTCTTTCCCTTCTTTTTCTCCTTCCTTCCTTCTTTCCTCCCTTCCCTCTTCCTTTCCTTCCTTCTTTCTTTTCTTCCATCCTTCCAATCCACTTTGCTCCCTTTTCTTAGTCCTCTATATGTATTTCCTTTCTTTCATCAGCTCTCTTTTCACTGTTCTGTTTTCTCTTTCCATATCCTCTCCCTTCTTCAGTGTCATGCCTTCAGAGACCAATAGAAAGGAAGTCCATGGATTATTAAAGAGAATACAATACCTACCTTTTCGGAGGGAACTTGATCTTCGGAAACAGAGAAAGAAAACAGGGTGTTTTGTTGCGCAGGAAAAGTGAGGCTCTTTTGGACCCAGAGTTGCAATAGTTGCTTGAATCGAGTTTCTAAAGGGATGTCACATTTATATTATGTATTATATTATATCAGATATATATATATCTCCTATACACCTTATACGCAAATATAACTTTTTAAAAATCTATACACATAATAAAAGTGAAAACATGCATGTGTGTGTGTGTGGCTTGGTGTCCACTTACACAGACAACCTCCTGCCTCCACAAACAGCTATAGCTCCCATTTTTCGGAGGCAGCGCTGATGGAATCGTTCTAGGAGTTGCATGTGACATCTGTAGATAGTCCACATTTTGCAGGTGTATAGCAGGGTTGGGAGAACAATAGCTTTATAAACAAGCACCTTGGTATTCCTATGGATGTCCCGGTCCTCAAACATTCTGTGCTTCATTCGGGAAAAGGCTGCACTCGCAGAGCTCAGGCGGTGTTGTATTTCAGTGTCAATGTTGACTTTTGTAGAGAGGTGGCCGCCGAGGTAGCGAAAATGGTCAACATTTTCTAATGTTACACCATTAAGCTGTATTTCTGGCATTGGAGAGGGATTGGCTGGTGCCTGCTGGAAGATCACTTTGGTTTTCTCGATGTTCAGTGACAGGCCGAGCTTTTTGTATGCTTCTTGGAGTCCTCGTGGACAGCAAGTTAAACATGAGCCAACAATGTGATGTAGCGGCAAAAAAAGCCAATGGGATTTTGGCCTGCATCAATAGGAGCATAGTGTCTAGGCCCAGGGAAGTAATGCCTTTGTTAGACCACACCTGGAATATTGTGTCCAATTCTGGGCACCACAATTGAAGAGAGATATTGACAAGCTGGAAAGTGTCCAGAGGAGGGCGACTAAAATGATCAAGGGTCTGGAGAACAAGCCCTATGAGGAGCGGCTTAAGGAGCTGGGCATGTTTAGCCTGAAGAAGAGAAGGCTGAGAGGAGATATGATAGCCATGTATAAATATGTGAGAGGAAGCCACAGGGAGGAGGGAGCAAGCTTGTTTTCTGCTTCCTTGGAGTCTAGGACGGAACAATGGCTTCAAACTACAAGAGAGGAGATTCCATCTGAACATGAGGAAGAACTTCCTGACTGTGAGAGCCGTTCAGCAGTGGAACTCTCTGCCCCGGAGTGTGGTAGAGGCTCCTTCTTTGGAAGCTTTTAAACAGAGGCTAGATGGCCATCTGTCAGGGGTGATTTGAATGCAACATTCCTGCTTCTTGGCAGGGGGTTGGACTGGATGGCCCATGAGGTCTCTTCCAACTCTTTGATTCTATGATTCTATGATTCTGTGAGTATAGAGTGGCTTGTAGGTCTTCTTCTGAATGCGCACAGACAACATTGTCATCAGCATATTGGAATTGTAACCTTGGTTTTGGCTTTCAGTCTGCTGAGGTTGAATAGCTTGGCATCTGTCTGATAGATTATTTCCACTCCAGTAGGAAGCTTCCCATCAACAAGATGAAGTATCATAGCAATGTAAAGTGGGTCATGGGGAGGTCTGCATGCCAAGTTTGGTCCCGGTCCATCATTTCTATCTTTCCATTTTTATATATATATTCTTTATATATATATATTCTTTCTACCTAATAGTTTTGTTTTGTTTTTATTTTATTGCCTGTGTTTTTATTTATTTTTATGATTGGGCAGCTTTAATTTTAAAAAATGTAATAAAAATAGCTTTAAAATAATACCCAAGAAATTCATCTCTTTCAGCTTTGGAGGCTCCCTATTACCAGAGCTGGGAACCCTCCTGAAAAAGAACTCCATTTCCCATGAGCCTTTAGTGGAGCATGTGAGCACTACAGGGGAGGGGGGAGCAGGAGAGAGAGAAGCAGCAGCAACAGGAAGGGAGCAAAAAGTGGCAGACTTTCCATGTAAACCCAGGAGTAAAGACCTGCATCTGGAACACGTGTACATCTGAATGCAGGCTTTGCAACCTACGTTGTGTCCTAGAAGTAAGTTTTGCATTGTTTTATTTCAATTTGTTTTGGAATAAAAGTGGGGTGGGATTTTACAGAGAACTAGAACTCTTCCCAAAGTTTGCAAAACCTCCTGGAAAGTTGTGTTTATTGTCCATCGAGAGGTCAAACATCCTCAGGGTTGAGTTAACAAAGTTTACAGAATTAATAATAGCAATAGACAATAATACATATACAAAAAACATCCTGGAAAGTTAAAGGAAAATTAAAGGCAATGTTGCATTAACTACAACTGACATCATGCCAGGTTAACCCCGAGAAACTCCATCAGTACTTGACGTATGTTATCTTGGGCATTTTTGCTCTAGATACATCATAGGTGGGGTTCTGTGTACTCCCTAGCTGTAGGGTGAACGACAACTCCCACTATGGTGAGTCAGTCCCCTCAAACCCCTCCAGTAGGTTTTAGTTAGTCATGGGGGTTCTGTGTGCCAAGGGTAGTCCAGGTCCATCATCTGCGGAGGTCACCATTTCTCTGGTTGTGGGTGAACTACAACTCCTAGAAAGGAAGGTCAGTTCTCCCCAAACCCCTTCAGTAATCAAATTTCAAGATATCAGATATGTGTGCCAAGTTTGGTCCAGATCTATCAGTGTTTGAGTTCACAGTGCTCTCTGGATGTAGGTGAACTACAACTCCCATGATGGCAAGTCAGTCTCCTCAAACCCCTCCAGTAGGTTGAGTTTAGTCATGGAGGTTCTGTGTGCCAAGTTTGGTCTAGGTCCATCATCGGTGGAGGTCACAGTTTCTCTGGTTGTGGGTGAACTACAACTCCCAGAAATGAAGGTCAGTCCCCGTGTGTTCCCCCCCCCCTCCAATAATCAAATTTCACCATATCAGATATGTGTGCCAAGTTAGTTCTAAGTCCATCATTGGTGGAGGTCGGTGTGCTCTTAGATTGCAGGTGAACTATACATCCCAGGACCTACAACTCCTATAAATCATGGTGAATTCTCCTCAAGGCCCTCAACTATGTTCAGTTGCTGATCAATTCCTCTGTTTGCTGTATGCTATAGAAAAGAATAGGAAATGATTAAGGAAGAGGCAGTGGGTGTGGTCATGCAAATTCCACTCCAATGGAGAGAGTCAGAAACACTGGGATGCCTGTTGTGGAGGAAACACATAACATTTAGGATGAAATTGTCCCTGTATGAAAGCCTTCACTTGGGTGGTGGGCAGTGTGGTGTTTGCGGAGGACATTGGCAGGACTCTTGGACATGTACATGGCGCTCTCTATAGCCTGCAATGTCATTGGTATCTCCTGAGCAGTGGGAGCTATAGCTGGTTGTGGAGGCAGGAGCTTGTCTGTGTAACTGGACATCCCAGCCACATCCACACATACATATTCTTCACTTTTATTATGTGTATAGATAGATAATAACATGGTATAGATAGTATAGATAGATAATAACTTTACATGGTATATATAAGTGTATCATATCTACATATATACAATGTATATTGACTTTATGCAATATATATATATATATATATATATATATATATATATATATATGAGATACCTATCTACTATGATATTGTATTTTTTAAGGACATGAGAGTTTTGTATTGTCTTTTCATATCAAGGCATCTTTGGTTGCTTAGTTATCTTTTAAATAGGTTGTTATATGATATGCACATACAACATTTTAATAATAATAATAATAATAATAATAATACTAATCTTTATTTATACCCCGCCACCATCTCCCAAAAGGGAACTCAGGGCAGCTTACATGAGGCCAAGCCCAGTAGTGCATTACAATAAAATAACACAAAAGCATAAAACAAACATCACAATAAGATAAATAGATCAGTAGATGTCATATAAAGTTACTATATATGTGTGCGTGTGTCATATAAAAGCATATTTTATATATATATATATATATATATTGAATATACATATAGATAGACATCAAATAAAGCTATTATATATGTGTGTGTGAGAGAGTGTATATATTATATACAGTTATATAAGTAAGCACCATATAAAGTTACTATATATACAGCATATACTGTTATTATATATTGTATGTATATATAATACTCATAATATACATGTATATAGGTACATATAAAGTTATTTTATATATATATATGCATTTATGTATGTGTTATATAGATTTATATAAGTATATATAATGAGATATATATATATATATATATATATATATATATATATATATAACACATTTATATAGATAAACACACACACACATATATGTGTGTATATAAATATATGGATATGGGGGGTCCTCTTTATCAATGGACCCCCATTGTGTCTCTGTGTGAGGTTGCAGGGGGTTGGACTAGATGATCCATGTGGTTTCTTGCAGCTTTTTTTATTCTATGATTCTTTGATTCTTTCACAGTGTAGGGCTACCCCACTCTCCCCAAACCGTCATGGCCGACAGGAGCATGGAGCTCAAGGCGGAGGCTCTTCTGGGGCCGAGATCTATAGATCTGGAAGAGGCCCCAGACCCCCAAGACCTTCCCTCCATCCAGGAAGAGCCTGGGCCTCATTGTGCTGACTTCGTAGCCCCTCTGGTGCCTCCCAATGTGGGATCTGGGGGGCCTGGAATGGATGAGAGGCTGGCGAGGGGGGATCCCACGGAGACAGCAGAGGGACAGGCAGACATGGGGCTCCTGGAAGGGCCCAGGTAAGATGGAGACACCCACAGACAGATGGGCAGGTGGGCAGAAAGGTGGGAGGATGAATGGATACATAGGGATAGAGAAAGAGATAGATAGGTAGATAGATAGATAGATAGATAGATAGATAGATAGATAGATAGATAGATAGATAGGACAGACAGATTGATCAATAGATAGAAAGACAGATGGATGGATAGGTAAATGGATGGACAGATGGGGATAAATAAGATAGATAGATAGATAGATAGATAGATAGATAGATAGATAGATAGAATTAGATAATTAGACAAGTAAGTAAATAGATAGATGGATAGACAGAGATACAAAGATCGATAAAAAGACAGGTAAATGGATGACTAGATAGGGGTAGATAGATAGATAGATAGATAGATAGATAGATAGATAGATAGATAGATAGATAGATAATTAGATAGACAAGTAGGTAGATGGATAGATAGACAGGGATACAAAGATTGATAGAAAGATGGACAGTTAGGTAAATGGATGGATAGATAGATAGAAAGATACATAGATAGACAGACAGGTGGATGGATGGATATACAGTATAGACAGATCAGTCGATGGATAGATAAATAGGTGGATAGATGGATAGATAGGAATAAATAATATAGATAGATAGATAGATCTGGATAGACAAGTAAGTAGATGGATGGATGGATAGAGATACAAGGACTGATAGAAAGACAAGTAAATGGATGGATAGATGGATAGGGATAGATAGATAGATAGATAGATCAGACAGATCAATCGATAAAAAGATGAATAGGTAAATGGATGGATAGATAGAAAGGAATAAATAAAATCGATGGATAGATAGATTTAGATAATTAGATAGACAAGTAAGTAGATGGATAGTTGGCTAGACAGGGATACAAAGATCAATACAAAGAGAGACAGGTAAATGGGTGGATAGACAGGAATAAATAATTTGATAAGTAGGTAAATAGATAGATAGTTAGATAGACAAGTAGGTAGATGAATGGATGGATAGAGAGGATAAGGATACAAAGATCCATAGAAAGACAGATAGGTAAATAGATTCAATAAATAATTAGAAAGATAGATAGATGGATAGATTAGATCAGTGATCCTCAACCTGTGGGTCCCCAGATGTTTTGGCCTTCAGCTCCCAGAAATCCTAATAGCTGGTAAACTTGCTGGGATTTCTGGGAGCTGTAGGCCAAAACACCTGGGGACCCACAGGTTGAGAATCACTGGATTAGAAAGATAGTAGGCATGGATAGACAGGGATAAAAAGGCATGTAGGTAGATGGATGGGTAGGTGGATGGACACAGGCAGAAAGGTGGGTGGATGTGTAAATGGATGGATGGATAGATAGGCATAATCAATGAAAGAATTATGAGATAGACAATTAGGTGAATAGATGGAGAGAGAAAGAGAGAGAGAAAGATAGGTTGGTAAATAGAACAAAAGGTCGGTAGATGGATGGATGGACAGGCGGACAGGTTGAAGGGTAATTGGATGGACAGATAGGGACAAATAATTAGACCTGTAGTAAGTAAGTAGGTAGATGGATCAATGGGAATAGAGACAGATGTGTGGATAGATTAATAGAAGGCAATAGGTAGGTAGGTGGATGGATGGATAGACGAGTGGATGGATCAATTGATTTATAGTGAGTGAGAGCGGGAGAGTGACAGGTAGATGGAGGAGCAGGCAGGCGGGTGGATCGATGGATGTGTAAGTAGACAGATGAGACGGTCTTTATTTATTTTATTTATTTATTTATGACATTTATATGCCGCCCTTCTCACCCCGAAGGGGACTCAGAGCGGTTTACAGGTATATATTACATACAATATATTATATTATTAGCATAGTACAATATCAGCATTAAACATTGCTATATTGCACCATACCACTATATCGTAATATTATGCGTAATCTTACATGTAATATAAATATATAATTATAATATTATTATTATTATATGGCATTACATTATAATATTTTAAAAATATATGTATATACAATATATTATATTATACTATACTATACTATACTATACTATACTATACTATACTATATTATATTATATTATATTATATTATATTATATTATAAGAATAGCACAGGAGACAAGGTGGAACCATCCCCTGGCCCCCTCTCTTTTCACTCTGGCCCAGTGTGAACGGAAATGGCTGAAATTTCTTCTTTCGCGTGGTGTTCTTGTAGGGATGTCATGGAAGATGTTGCCATCACGCTCCAACAGGAGCCTCCCCCGATGGATCAGATCCCAGCCGCGGAAGGAGACTCCAGCCTCCTTGCTCCGTCTGGCACGGACGAGAGCAACCCCTCGATGGAGTTGAAGGAGGAAGAGGACAGCACCGTTCCCAGGGCGGACCTCATCCAAGACCTCCTCGAGCGACTCAACCCGCACTTCCGAGACAATTCGCCACCGTCCTCCTCAGATGGTGAAGAGGAGTCTGCATTGGGAAGAGGCGAAGAGCAAAGCCTTCTCCCTGAGAGCCGGGATCCACCAGGGAAAGGTACCCCTTGTCCGCTGCATATTGCCGCCGGATTAGGAGCTGTCGTCGCCCGCGGGCCACGGAAAAACCGGAGTTTGCTCTCAGCCGACACTGAGCGGGAGGACCTGCTTGGCCTTCTCCACTACGAAGGGGGTATCCCAGGTGAAGCAGATGAGCGGACCCCCCTGGCCCACTCAGAGGCGGTTTCGGGGGGCGAAAAGGCAGAGGCGGAAGGGGGACCATCCTCCATGCCAGGTCCAAATGAAGATGTTCGGCAGGAGGAAGAGGCCACGTCAGAGCCGGCGAGTGAGCGGTTGGAACAGCCATCCCCTGGCAGCGAGGCACAAGAGGTAAGCAAGGCAATCGTAGCAATCCTAGAGTTGGAAGGAGCCCCAAAGGCCATCCAGTCCAACCCCTTTTTGCACAGATACAATGGAGAGCTGGAAGGGGCCCCAGAGGCCATCCAGTCCAACCCCTTTTTGCACAGATACAATGGAGAGCTGGAAGGGGCCCCAGAGGCCATCCAGTCCAACCCCTTTTTGCACAGATACAATGGAGAGCTGGAAGGGGCCCCAGAGGCCATCCAGTCCAACCCCTTTTTGCACAGATACAATGGAGAGCTGGAAGGGGCCCCAGAGGCCATCCAGTCCAACCCCTTTTTGCACAGATACAATGGAGAGCTGGAAGGGGCCCCAGAGGCCATCCAGTCCAACCCCTTTTTGCACAGATACAATGGAGAGCTGGAAGGGGCCCCAGAGGCCATCCAGTCCACCCCCTTTCTGCGCAGACAGGATGTCAAGTTGGAAGGGCCCCCCAAGGGCCATCCAGTCCAATCCCTTCCAGCCAGACAGGGTGACACAGTCTTAGGCCTCCCAACAGAGGGTCTCCTTTATTTTGAAAACCAAATTATTTTGTCAGCAGTGTAATCCCATATCCATCTTTCTCTCTCTCTCTTGCTTTGTCAGAACAAAGGCGATATTTCCTCCTTCCCCGCTTACCAAGAAGGTGAGAAGAAAAGAGTGGGCTGTGAATGACTGGTAAAATGGGTCTGGGGTCCTGCGTTTTATTTATTTACAGTATTTATATTCCGCCCTTCTCACCCCGCAGGGGACTCAGGGCGGATTACAGTGTACACATATATGGCAAACATTCAATGCCAATTTGACATACAACATATACAGACATAGACAGAGGCTATTTAACTTTTTCTGGCTGCCAGGGGAGCTGTCGCTTTCATCGTCCATCTGCGACACTGATGAAGTACTTCCGCATTCCCCGCATGCTTTTTGCTGGAGTGCTTGCTGGAGTCTTTTTTTTTATGGCCTCATAAATTAGTTAATTTAGCCTCCCCACACTTTAAGGTGGTACCTAATTTTCCTACTTGACAGATGCAACTGTCTTTCGGGTTGCAAAGGTCGACAACAGGCTACACAATGGTTGGAAACCCACTCCAACCCGGGCTGGCTTCGAACTCATGACCTTTTGGTCAGAGTGATCTTAATGCAACTGACATTCAGCCAGCTGCGCCACAAGCCCGGGACAGAAATGTGGGACAGAAATCTGTCTGTCTGTCTGTCTGTCTGTCTGTGTCTTCCTTCCTTCCTTCCTTCCTTCCTTCCTTCCTTCCTTCCTTCCTTCCTTCCTTCCTTCCTTTCCTCCTTTCTTCCCTCCTTCCTTCCGTCCATCCCTCCCTCCTTCCTTTCCTCCTTTCCTCCTTTCTTTCTTCCTTCCATCCTTCCTTCCTTTCTTCTATTCTTCCCTTCCTTTCTTCCCTTTGCTTTCTCCTTTCCTTCCTGTTTTCCTTTTAGTTATATTTTGTCTTTAATCTACCTCGATCTTGATAGAGGCAAGATGATGATAACAATAATAATAATAATAATAATAATAATAATAATAATAATAATAGAAAGAGCTGTTAATAAGGATAATAATAATAATAACAACAATAGGAAAAAGGCATTGATGATGATAGATGTTGATGATAATTATACAAAGAAACATTAATTATGATGATGACAATTATTATTTTAGGTTGTTGGGTTTTTTTGGTTTGTTTGTTTTTTGTCATGTCAGGAGCGACCTGAGAAACTGCAAGTCACTTCTGGTGATGCATTTTAGGTGATGATAGTAATTGAGAGAGGCATTGATGATGATTATTATTATGTTGATAGGGAGAGTCACTAATGATATTAATAATCTAAACACATAATAAAAGTGAAAATATGTATGTGTGCATGTGTCTGGAGTGTCCTCTTACACAGGCTCCCAGCTCCTCAGGAGACACCAATGGCCCGCCCTTTACAGGTTATAGTAAGCACCATAAACATATACATATAACATTACAGGTTATAGTAAGCACCATAAACATATACAAGAGCCCTGCCAAGGTCCTCCACAAACACAATACTGCCCACCACCCAAGTGATGGGGACAATTTCATCCTCGATAATATGTGTTTCCTCCACCACAGGCATCCCAGTGTTTCTTTCTCTCTCCATTGGTGTGGAATATTCATGGCCCCGCCCACTGCCTCCCCCTTCACCCTTTCCTACTCTTTTTTAAGGCACACAGCAAACAAAGGAATTGATCAGCAACTGAACATACTAGAGAGGTTTGGAGAGAATTCACCATGATTTATAGGAGTTGTAAGTACTGGGAAGTATAGTTCACCTGCAGTCTAAGAGCACTTTGAACTCCAACAATGATGGACCTGAAATTAACTTGGCACACCGAACCCCCAAGACCAACCAAAAATACGGGAGGGATTTATAGGAATTGTAGTTTACCTACATCCAGAGAGCATTGTGACCCCAAACAACGATGTATCTGGACCACACATGGCACACATACTTGATATGACAAAATTTGATTACTGGAGGATGAATCAGATTCATGTAACTGGAGGGGTTTAGGGGAACTGACCTTCCTTTCTGAGAGTTGTAGTTCACCCACAACCAGAGAAACGGTGACCTCCACCGATGATGGACCTGCACCAAACTTGGCACACAGAACTCCGATGACAAATTCAACCTACTGGAGGGGTTGTGGTGACTGACTCACCATAGTGGGAGTTGTAGTTTACCCTACATCTAGAGAGCACACTGAACACCACCGATGAGGCATCCAGAGCAAACTTGCCCAACGTCACAAACTTTAATTACTGGTGGAGTTTCAGGGGGTTAACCTGGCATGATGTAGTTCACCCACAACCTTATGCATTCTGTAAAATGAAAAATTTGACTTTTTCAAATAGACGGCTACCCAAGCTAATAATAATAATAATAATAATAATAATAATAATAATAATAATAACAATAATAATAGTATAAATAATATAAGAAGAAGAGATAGAGACAGCAATTAATGATGATAATGATAATAATAATAATTGATGATATAGAGAGTCATTAATGAGAATGGTATTAACTGTTGTTGTGATGATGGTGATGATAGAGAGAAGTGATAATAATGATGATGATGATTATGATGATGATGATAAGGAGAGGTATTACTGATGATGATGATGGAGTGCTGTTGACGATTATGATGATGGCGGCAATGATAGGGAGTGGTGTTAATGTTAATAGGAATAATAATAATAATAATAATAATAATAATAATATACCTTATTTATATTCCATCCTATGTCCCCAGGGGGTTTACAGTACACATATACGGCAAACATTCAATACAGTTATACAATTAACAAAGACAGACAGTACATAAACAGAGGTTAAAGGCTTCCCATGTTTTTCCATCTCTGGCATCTGGAGGTTGTGCTCAACTCTGGCCAGAGAAAAGTGCTATTGCTCCATCTTCCATGCCGAGGAGCTTTGTTGTCCGTAGTCGTCCTCCCAATCAAATCGCCAACATGTCCTTATGGGCCCCTTTTATTACCTATTTATCTACTCACATTGCTGTTTTCAAACTGCTAGATGGGCAGAAGCTGGGCTGACAGTTGGGAGCTCACCTCAACCCGGGCTTGAACTGTCAACCTTTCAATTGGCAAGATTTTCTGCAGCTGGTGGTTTAACCCACTGTGCTAAATCCCGGCTCTATAATAATAATAGATTATGATGATGGGGAGTTGTGCTAATAATAATAATAATAATAATAATAATAATAATAATAATAGATGATATGGAGGAGTGTTAATTATGATAATGACTGAACAAATAAACAACAACAAAAAGAGTAGATGATGATGGCGATAGGGTGAGACAATAATAATAGCGAAGATAATGATGAAGATGATGATAGGGAGAGGCGTTGATGATGATGATGCTAACACTATGTAACAAAATTTGAAAAAAAATCTGTTCCTGTTTTGAAAATGTTATTTCCTGTTTAATTGTGCTGTCCTTACTTTGAAAGTTCTTGTTATGCTCCAGTAACTTGAATTGGTTGAGACTCTATGATACTCTAAGATATTCATTGAAAATCTAGAGCTAAATGTGCTGCAGGATGTCCTTTCCGCAAAAGCAATGTTTTTGCAGTTTTAATAAACTTTTCCATGGTTTTATGATAGAACCAATTAGGGAATGACATTTAAAACGCAGGAACAAAAATTGTGTTGCATAGTGTTGTTGTCGTCGCCATCTCAGTCCTCTCCCGCCCGTCTCAATGCAAGAGGTGCTTTGGAGCAGGCTGTGTTGAGCTGCCCTCAATGAGGACTAGAAGGGCTATGCCCTCCTTTCCCTTCCCTGTCCTCAGACGACCTCTCAGCCGCAGCCCCAGGCCCTTGTGACCCCGAAGACCTGCGCGAAGGGGTCCTCTTTGCAGCAAAATACCTGGGCTCCACACAACTGGTTTCGGAGAGGAGCCCCCCAAGCAGTGTTCGCATGGCACAAGCCCAGGAGGCCATGGACCGGGTGAAGGTGAGGCTTTGGATGGCCATCTGTCGAGAGGGATTGGATGGTGCCTTCCTTAATAATGGAAGGCAGTCCGACTGGATGGCCATCTGTCAGGAGGGACTGGATGGTACGTTGCTTAATGGCGGAAGGGGGTCCGACTGGATGACTCTCTGTCGGGAGGGATTGGATGGTGCCTTCCTTAATGGCAGACGGGGATAAGACTAGATGGCCATCTGTTGGAAGGGTTTTCTTGGGAGGTGGCTTATCTCATAGCCTTGCCTTGGGATTTGCAGGCACCGGAAGGGGAGTCCCAGCCCATGACGGAAGTGGATCTCTTTGTCTCGACGCAGAGGATCAAGGTCCTTACGACCGACTCCCAGGTGAGCTGAGAAAGAAGAGCCAGAAATCAACACTTGAATAGGGAAAAGCTGATGAGAAGATGTGACTTGCTCCCTTCTCCAGCTCCCTTCCATCTTTGCCTATCAACTTTTCAATTTTTAAAATTACTTTTTGTTAATGTCTTTACCGAATCTTCCATAGTACCTATTAGGACCACGGCGTCATCTGTATATAAATTAGTTTTTATATTTTTGCCTCTCATCTAAAGGGCAACTTTCTCCCTTCTCCAGCTCCACAATCCCCTTTTTTCTCTTGCTTTCCTGCCTCAGGAGGCCATGATGGACCACCCTCTGCAGACCATTTCTTTCATTGCGGACATTGGGAACGTGGTTGTACTGATGGCCCGCCGGAAACTCCCTCGCAGGACAGACTCTTCCCCGGAGAAGCCGCTCTACAAAATGATCTGCCACGTCTTTCACTCGGCCGATGTAAGACCTTTCACATCAGATATATTAGCAAGCATTTTGTATCCATAGGTTCCACCATTCTTCCATTAAGGAAAGCACCATCCAATCCCTCCTTATAGATGGCCATCCAGTCCAACCCCCTTCTGCCGTTAAGGAAGGCACCATCCAATCCCTCCTGACAGATGGCCATTCAGTCCGACCCCCTTCCACCATTAACGGAGGCACCATCCAATCCCTCCTGACAGATGGCCATTCAGTCTGACCCCCTTCTGCCATTAACAAAGGCACCATCCAATCCCTCCCAACAGATGGTCATCCAGTCCGACCTCCTCCTGCCATTAAGGAGGCACGATCCAATCCCTCCTGACAGATGGCCATCCAGTCCAACCTTCTTCCGCCATTGAGGAAGGCACCATCCAATCCCTCCCGACAGATGGCCATCCAGTCCAACCCTCTTCTGCCATTAAGGAAGGCACCATCCAATCCCTCCCAGCAGATGCCCATCCAGTCCAACCCCCATGTGCCATTAAGGAGGGATCATCCAATCCCTCCTGACAGATGGCCATCCAGTCCAACCCTCTTCCACCATTAAGGAAGGCACCATCCAATCCCTCCAGACAGATGCCCATCCAGTGCAACCCTTTTCTGCCATTAAGGAAGGCACCATCCAATCCCTCCTGACAGGTGCCCATCCAGTGCAACCCCCTTCTGCCATTAAGGAAGGCACCACCCAATCCCTCCCAACAGATGCCCATCCAGTCCGACCCTCTTCCGCCATTAAGGAAGGCACCACCCAATCCCTCCTGACAGATGCCCATCCAGTCCGACCCTCTTCTGCCATTAAGGAAGGCACCACCCAATCCCTCCCGACAGATGGCCATCCAGTCCGACCCTCTTCTGCCATTAAGGAAGGCACCACCCAATCCCTCCCGACAGAAGGCCATCCAGTCCGACCCTCTTCCGCCATTAAGGAAGGCACCATCCAGTCCCCCTCAACCGATGGCCATCCAGTCCAACCCCCTTCTGCCATTAAGAAAGACACCCCAAGATGCAATGGTGATCCCTGCTGCTTCCCTGTCTTTACCTGCAGGCCCAGCTGGTTGCCCAAGCCATTGGCCAGGCCTTCAGTGTTGCTTACCAGCTCTTCTTGAGGGCCAGCGGCATCACTCCCCAGCAGCTGGGCCCCTCCTCTCCGGGTCACAACGATGATGAAGAAGACGATGAAGACGCCGCCGCCATCCGGGCACAAGGTGAGGAGCTGTACAACGCCGACCTGGCCCACTTCTCCAAGCAAGAGAACTGCGAGAAGGTAAGGACAAAGTTCCAGAAGCGGGATGCGGCAAGTGGAATTGCTACGAAAGGCCCCTTCGTCAAAGGAATTGCATTAATTTGGAACCTAATTTGGGATTGATCATTTCATGATCCCATGAGTTTGGAGTGAGAAGATAAAAGAAAGTTTAGCAGGCTCTCAATACCCACTGGGGTTCGACCCTGAAAATCCATCAATACTGAAGTCTCATTGTATAGGTATATGAGTTATACCATTTAATTATTTTATCATATATGATTACTATATTATTATATCGTATATAATTATATAATTTCAGCATTATATATAATGACGTAATATAATAACTATATACAATTATTATTATCATATATAATAATTATAATTATCAATTATATAATGAATATATATAATAAATATTTATTATATTTATATATCTATATTCATAGATATATAAATGCTCTGTGCATCATGAGTACGTTAAAAACAAAAAAACTACGGGGCCAAGTGACCCCAAATTTGGCAACAAAACTCCTCACAATCCAAGGAAGAAAGGAGAGGAAGGGGAAGGGGAAGAAAAAGGGGGGAAAGAATAGACCGGTACCTCTCTTTCTTAATAGTCCAGATAGCTACCTCTACTTCGAAAATTCTTACTATAGTCCACAGCAACGTGTGGCAGGGCACAGCTAGTAATAAATATATAATTATTACATTACATATACTTACATAATGTATTTATTATATATGTATATATTACACTGTTTGTAATATCGTATATATTACTTACTATATTATATATGATATAATTATGATATATAATTTACATATATGTATAATCCCATTTCATTGTTATATCATATATGATTATTATATTATTTTTGAACTGAGGCTGGATGGCCATCTGTTGGGAGGGCTTTGACTGTGTCTTCCTGCCTGGCCGAAGGTGGTTGGACTACATGACCTTTGGGTGCCTCTTCCAGTGGAGTGGAGGCTTTTGGACTGAGGCTGGATGTCCGTTATTGGAAGGATTTTGACTATGTCTCCCTTCCTGATCGAAAGAGGTTGGACTGTATGCCCTTTTGGGCCCCCTTCTAATGGTGTGCTTCCTCTCCTGTGTCCTCTTTTGTGGCTGCAGGTTGTGATCCTGAAGCCAAAGGGGGCGATCCTGGGCCTGGCAGTGGTGGAGTCTGGCTGGGGCTCCTTGCTGCCCACGGTGGTCATCGCCAATCTGATGCACGGAGGACCAGCTGAACGGTCGGGAAAGCTGAGCATTGGGGACCGCATCACGGCTGCCAATGGGACCAGCCTGGTGGGACTGCCCTTGGCCACCTCCCAGAGCATCCTCCGGGTGAGACGTGCAGGGCTCAAAGCATGTCGGGAGGCGGGTGGGATCTGGACCAGACCTTTCCCACAAGACCTTTCATTGGCCAAAGGGATTTGGACAATGGGAGGAAAGGGAAAAGAGCGAAGATGAGGTGAGGTGAAGTGGCCCTCTGTCACAGGACTGGGGAAGAAAAAGGGGGTGGAGTGGCTTGGCTGCTGCTCAGTGACAGATAAAGGGGGGGGGGAAGGATGGATGGTTGAAGGAATGGAGTGAGGGAGGGAGGAGGGCAAAGAGAAGAAAGAAAGGGAGGGTGGGAGGAAGAGAGGAAGATTGGATGGTGGCCTTCTAGGATAAGGAAGGAAGGGGAGGGAGGAAAGAAGGAAGGGAGGACAGAAAGAAGGGAGTGAGGAAGGAAGGAAGGATGGGAAGAAGGGAGGGAGAAAAGAAAGAAAGAAAGAAAGACAGACAGACAGACAGAAAGAAAGACAGAAAGAAGAGAGTGGGGAAAGAAAGAAGGAAGGATAGACGGGAGGGAGGAAAGAAAGGAGGAAGGACAGAAAGAAGGGAAGGAGAGAGGAAAGAAAGAAGGGAGTGAGGAAAGAAAGAAGGATGGGAAGAAGGGAGGGAGAAAAGAAAGAAAGAAGGAAAGACAGAAAGAAGAGAGTGGGGAAAGAAAGAAGGAAGGATAGATGGGAGGGAGGAAAGAAAGAAGGAAGGACAGAAAGGAAGGAGTGAGGAAAGAAGGAAGAAAGGACAGAAAGAAGGGAAGGAGAGAGGAAAGAAAGAAGGACAGAAAGAAGGGAGTGAGGAAAGAAAGAAGGACAGAAAGTAGGGAGTAAGGAAAGAAAGAAGGATGGGAAGAAGGGAGTGAGGAAAGAAAGGGAGGGAGGGGAAGGGAGGGAAGAAAGAAAGAAAGGACAGAAAGAAGGGAGTGAGGAAAAAAAGAAGGAAGGATTGAAGGAGGTGAGGAAGGAAGGATAGAAAGAAAGGAGGGAGGGAGGAAAAAAAGAAGGAAGGACAGAAAGAAGGGAGTGAGGAAAGAAGGATGAGAAGAAGGGAGGAAAGAAGGAAGAAAAAAAGGGAGTGAGAAAAGAAAGAAGAAGGAAGAACAGAAGGAAGGGAAGAAAAAGTTAGGAAAGAAGGAGAGAAGAAAGAAAAGGAGGGAGAGAAGGAAGGAAGGACAGACCATTGCCATATATGTCTGTGTTTTGTATATATGTATATATTTTTGCCAGGCCTTCTTGTGGTGTGTAACCAGTCCTTTCCCTTTCTCTGGCTGCTTCTCTTTTTTGCCAGGAGCTGAAGAACCAGACGGAGGTGACCCTCAGCGTGGTTCACTGTCCGCCGGTCACCACTGCCATTGTGCGGAGGCCCGACACCAAGTTCCCCCTGGGCTTCTGTGTGGAGAACGGCATTGTGAGTTGCACGGGAAGCCTTATCTTTTTTTTTTTTTTTTGGGGGGGGGGGGGGGGGCGGTCTGACTATGGATCAATTCCAGGCTCCAGACTGAACTGGTGATGCGGGGCTTGTTTTTCTGTATATTTCTATCTAAAAGGTGCCCCCTTTGTTGCAGATCTGCAGCCTGATGCGTGGAGGGATTGCCGAGCGTGGGGGGATCCGGGTGGGCCACCACATCCTGGAGATCAACGGCCAGAGCGTGGTGGCCATGCCACACCAAAAGGTCATCCAGATCCTTACGCAGGCCGTTCGCGAGGTGCGGTTCCTCACAATCCTCAAAGGGAGGCAAAGGCACCATGGCGAGGCTGAGAGAGTGTGCCTTCTTTCAGTTTCTGTCTTTTCTCTCCTTCCTTTTCTCATTCTTCTCATTCAAACTTTCTTCTTCCTTCGATCTGTCTCTCCTTTCCCCATCTCTCCAACTATGTTGGCTATGTAGTTCACCCAAGTACGACCCCAGCTCCCCCTCCCTTTGTTTCTTATGGCTCTTTCCTTCTTAGGTCCGGATCAAAACCATGCCGGCTTCAACCTACCGCCTTCTGACCGGACAGGAGCAACCAGTCTTCCTCTGAGCAAAGATGGCTGCAAATGGAAAGCCTGAAAGACTTTTACAAACTAAGCAAAAGGACAGACAAATCGGTTGCCTTCTCTTTCTTTTGTTGTTGTTGCATTTTGGAAAAGCACAGTTTTTCAATTTGGTTGCATCAGAATTCATCATTGAGTCTGCAAGAAAGATCTTTCCCCTATATAATGTGGGTTAGCTCCCCTTTTCCCTTTTCCTTGTGTTTTATTGTGTGATGGTGTGTGGTTAGGACTGGATTAAAAAGCATTTTGTAAAAACTCAATTTAAAAAGAAGCAAAAAGAGGCATAATTTGTTTGAAAAGACTTTATTACAAAGATGGGAACCAAAAAATCCATCTCTCTCTCTATATGTGTGTGTGTGTGTGTAGAGAGAGGGGGAATACACACACACACACACACACTAGCTTGGGGACATGGCGTTGCCTGGGTTATTTGAAAAAGTCTTTTAATTGTACAAAATGCATAAGGTTGTGGATGAACTACAACTCACATCATGCCAGGTCAACCCTCAGAAACTCCATCAGGACTGAAAGTTGGTTATGTTGAGCAAGTTTGCTCTCTAGATATATCATGGGTGGGGTCCAGTGTGCTCTCTGGCTGTAGGTTAACTATAACTCCCACTATGGTGAATCAGTCCCCTCAAGCCCCCCCAGTAGGTTGAGTTAGTCATGGGGGTTCTGTGTGCCAAGTTTGGTCCAGATCCATCATCGGTGGAGGTCACCGTTTCTCTGGTTGTGGGTGAACTACAACTCTCAGAAAGGAAGGTTACTCCCCCCCCCCCCTAATCAAATTTCGGCATATCAAGTATGTGTGCCAAGTTTGGTCCATATCCATTGGTATTTGGGTTCACAGTGCTCTCTGGATGTAGGTGAACTACAACTCCTCCAAATCAGTGTGAATTTCCCCCAAAGACCTCCAGTATTTTTTTTTGCTGGTGAAGAGAGCTCTGTGTGCCAATTTTGGTCCAATTACATCTTTGGGAGAGTTCAGAGGGCTCATTGATTGCAGGTGAACTATAAATCCCAGTACCTACAACTTCCAAATATCCAGGCCAATTCCCCACAAAACCCAACAGTGTCAGGTATGCATACCAAGTTTGGTCCAGATCCATTATTGTTTGGGTTCATAGTGTGCTCTGGATGTAGGTGAACTACAACTCGGATAAATCCCTCCAAAGACCTCCAGTATTTTTGTTGGTCATGAGGGTTCTGTGTGCCAAGTTAGTTCCGGGTTCATTGTTGGTGGAGTTCAGGGTGCTCTTAGATTGCAGGTGAACTATACATCCCAGGACCTACAACTCCTATAAATTATGGTGAATTCTCCCCAAACCTCTCTAGTATGTTCAGTTGCTGATCAATTCCTCTGTTTACTGTGTGCCATGGAAAAGAATAGGAAAGGGTTAAGGGAGAGGTGGTGGATAGGATCATGCACATTCCACACCAATGGAGAGAGTCAGAAACGCTGGGATGTCTGGTGGAAGAAATACATAAAATCTAGGATGAAATTGTCCCTGTATGAAAGCCTACACTTGGGTGGTGGACAGTGTTTGTGGAGGACATTGGCAGGGCTCTTGAACATGTTTACTGCGCTGTCTATAACCTGCAATGTCATTGGAGGGAGGGCCATTGGTGTCTTCTGCATAGTGGGAGCTCTGGCTGTTTGTGCAGGTAGGAGCTTGTCTGTGTAAGTGGGCATCCCAGCCACACACACACATACATATTTTATTGTTATATAGGATATTTATGTATATATGTGCGTATATATTATATATATTCCTATGAATGGAGAAGAATAACAAATCTTGTTGCACAAAATACAGAAAACATCCCCTAAAAACAGTATTAAAGCTATGGTGTCTGTGAAACATATGCAAATGTCCTATTTTCGACTTGAGATAACTCTTGGTAGATGCAAATATTCCAGTTTTTTAATTATTATTTTAAATGCATTTAATCCCAAGCATTTTGTGGATAAGGGACGCTTCCAAACCCATACCTTTAGGAAATCTGGGGTGTGTAGTTTCCTAATCGGCTTCGCACTCTCCGATTCACTGATAAGCAATGTTTAAATGGGAGGAAAGGTTACAGAATTGCCAATGGGAACACACACCCAAAAAGGTGCCGGGCTACAACTCTCATCAGGGGGCGGACGGGCTATAACACCCAAGTTCCTGAAAGGGGCTTCCGCCATGGAAACGAGGGGCAAACGGGAGGCAACGAAAGGCACAAACGGAGAAGGCATTGTCTATGTAATTGGGCTACAGGTCTGTGGCCGGTCCCCATCCGTAGCCGTAGTCCTCGTCTGACTCCGACTCGTATGCCCGGGCCTTGGTGAACTTCCTCTGCAGGGCCTCGCGCTCATATTCCCTGCCAAAGGAATACAAACATCAGCAACAGAATCGCATTGGGCTTTTTTGCATCACACTCCTGGCTTATGGCCAGTCTATTAAGACTCCTAGATCCCTTTTATATGGACCCATCTTATAGTTTTTGTTCTCTGGGGACGGGTACCTGATGTCTCTTTCTTGCCGCCACTGTCCTTGCGGTTGCTGGTTGCTGTCATGCTGTAGGAAGACAAGACAACAAATCAGAGCCCACCTTCTTTGTATATTCGGAGCATCTACACTGTAGAACTTATGCAGTTTGACAATGGGCATGGCTAGGTACCGTCGGAATCTTCGTAATTCAGAATAAATTTGGAAAAATTACGTTTTGGAAGCGATTTTGAACTTTTTTAGGAAACCGGTAGTCCCTTTGCCCTTCTGAAGCTAGTCCCGCCATTTTTCTTCCGACACAGGAAGTGATTCAGCTTCCCCCCCCCCCCCTTGCTTCTGGTCTCTGGCCTCGGCTCAAGCCAGAGAAGCCAGTTTTAAAGCCAGAGAAGCCAGATATAAACCAGAGAAGGATGAATTTCCTCCGTTTATGGATCAATAAAGTTATGGAGATTAAAGATATGGAAAAACCAACATTCCTAATTAAGAAGAATCCTGYCAAACCAATGAAACAGACTGGAGACTGTTTGAGAACTATATAAAAAATCAGAAGAGATGATGTTGGAACAAGGACAAGCCCAGAAATTCAACAGAAGAAAAGGGAATAGAAGTTATTTTAAAAACACTCTTTAAAAGGGAAAACAAGAAAAGCAGAAAACCGCAGAGGACTAGAATGGAAGTCATAAAACAACCATATGTTCTTTCGTTGGTACATGACCCCACAGAAACTGGGCCTAATGTATAAAGAGCCACAAAACAATTGTTGAAAATGTCAAACACAGGTGGGAACACTATATCATATGTGGTGGACTTGTTCTATTGCAAAAAAAAAAAATACTGGAAAATCATACAGGAAGCTTCACAGAAGATCTTACAAACTACAGTGCAACTCAAACCAGAATACTTCCTTCTTGGAATGACGGATGGAGACATTGACCTTGATAGAAATAAGGATATATTGTTCACTTACATAACAACAGCTGCCAGAATCACAATGGAAAACAAAAGAGTGGGCTACTAAAGAAGAATGGGAAAATAAACTCTGGGAAATCATGGACATGGATATACTGACGTTCTACTTAAAAGACCCAAAGGGTAAACCATTAACACCTACAAATTGGACATTATATAAGGACTACCTGAAAAGTCAACAGAGCCCACAATACTTCTGTACCCCTTAAAAGAGGATAAAAATTAGAGATTACAACAGAGAAGTGACCGTGAGTTATCCAAATAAAGAATCTAAGAGGATAGAACAACACGACCAGGGGAAAACGAAGGTGGAAGTCAATATACATCTATGTATTTTTATTCTTTCCTTCTTTTTTTCTTTTCTTTTCTTTTCTTTTGCTTCTTCTCTTTCCCCACACTTCAACTCCAGAGCACAAAACAGGAGCTTTTTTGTTGAGTTCCAGGGCCAGAGAAGCAAATGGTGGAAACAGAAGAACAGCCTGCCTCAGGGGAGCGTGCTTGCTTAATCCATGTTCAACATTTACACAGAAGGGACAGAGAGTTTCATCTATGCTGATGATCGTGCCATTACTGCTCAAGCAGGGAGCTTTGAGATGGTAGAACAGAAGCTCTCCAAAGCTCTAGGTGCTCTTACTGCCTATTACAGGGAAAACCAGCTGATCCCTAATCCATCTAAAACACAGACGTGCCTTTCACCTTAAGAACAGACAAGCATCCTGAGGTCTGAGGATTACCTGGGAAGGAATCCCACTGGAGCATTGCAGCGCACCCAAATACCTGGGAGTCACTCTGGACCATGCTCTGACCTACAAGAAGCACTGCCTGAATATCAAACAAAAAGTGGGCGCTAGAAACAATATCATACGAAAGCTGACTGGCACAACCTGGGGATCACAACCAAACACAATGAAGACATCTGCCCTTGCGCTATGCTACTCTGCTGCTGAGTATGCATGCCCAGAGTGGAACACATCTCACCACGCTAAAACAGTAGATGTGGCTCTTGATGAGACATGCCACATTATCACGGGGTGTCTGCGCCCTACACCACTGGAGAAACTACACTGTCTAGCTGGTATTGCACCACCTGACATCCGCCAGGAAGTAGCAGCCAATAGTGAAAGGACCAAGTCAGTGACATCTCCAGCCCATCCCTTGTTTGAGTATCAGCCAGCACATCAACGACTTAAATTAAGAAATAGTTTTTTAAGATCTACAGAGACACTCGCTGGGACACCTCAGCAAGCAAGAGTCCAAAAGTGGCAGGCTCAAACCCTGAACCTCAATCAATGGCTGATACCAAATGAGAGACTCCCCCCTGGGCACACAGAAGACTGGGCGACTTGGAAGGTGCTGAACAGACTGCACTCTGGCACCATGAGATGCAGAGCCAACCTTCAGAAGTGGGGCTACAAAGTGGAATCCTCGATATGCGAATGTGGAGAGGAGCAAACCACAGACCACCTGCTGCAATGCACCCTGAGCCCTGCCACATGCACAATGGAGGACCTCCTTGCGGCAACACCAGAGGCACTCCAAGTGGCCAGATACTGGTCAAAGGACATTTAACCAACTACCAAGCTTGCAAACTTTGTGTGTTTGTCTGTTTGTTTGTTTTGTTCTGTTAGAAATATAATACAATGGTCTGGTTGCCCCTGACACCACAAATAAATATATAAACAAAACCCCAGAGCACTATCCGTGCCAATCCTTCCCACCCACCCCAAGTTTCCTCAATTCCTTTTTCAACTTTTCTTTTAATGATTGTAAATAAAACTTTAATAAAGATATTTTTTTTTAAAAAAAAAAGAATCTATATAAATAAAAATGTTTCTTGTGGGATTAAGAGAACTCAAAAACCCTTGGAAGAATTGGCACCAAATTTGGCAGCAAAACACATTCTAATCCGATCTATGTCTTTCAAACAAAAAAACGTCAAAAAAGAAGGGGGGATAACTTTAAAATCCCCCCCCTCGCAAATACCTAACAGAGCATGCGCAAAAGGCCTTCTCCCCAGCACGCGAGAAGACTGACGCACCAACCATTGTGAGGGAAGAGAAGCCTCGCCATGGAGTCCCCTTTCAAGCAGAAAGGCAGAGTCCTCTTTCTTTTGGGGAGGGGAGGGATTGGGGAACTGATAGAGGGAAGGAAGGAAGGAGAGAGGGAGGGTGTGGAGACTTGGCCCTGGCCACTATAGAGGCTCCTTGAGGCCCAAGTGGCCCCTAAGCAACCCTCCCCGCAAAACTGGAGGATTGCAAGGCAAGCCTGTTGGGTGAAGGGAGGATGCAAACCAGGGGAAGACCAGCAACTCCCCCAGTTGGGGTCCACATCCCCCCTTCACCCTTTCATCCCCCCAACCAACCCCCCCCCCTTTAAAACCCCTTACAAACTGCCATGGAAGGAAGGGGGAAAGAAAGGGAAAGGAGAGAAGAAAGGAAGAAAAGGACTGGTGAAGAGAAGGATATGAATGGAAGGAAAGGTAGAAGGAAAGAAAGAGGAAGGAAAGGAAAGGAGGCAGGGATGGGAGAGGAAAGGGAGGGAGGAAGGGAAAGGAGAGAGGAAGGAAGGGAGGAAGAAAGGAATTATTATTATTATTAGGTTCTTGTAGGTTTTTTCAGGCTATAGGGCCATGTTCCAGAGGCATTTCTCCTGACGTTTCGCCTGCATCTATGGCAAGCATCCTACCTCTGAGGATGCTTGCCATAGATGCAGGCGAAACGTCAGGAGAAATGCCTCTGGAACATGGCCCTATAGCCCGAAAAAACCTACAAGAACCTAGTGATTCCAGCCATGAAAGCCTTCGACAATACAATACAATTATTATTATTATTATTATTATTATTATTATTATTATTATTAAGGAGAGTCTAAATGGCCATCTATCAGGAGTGTTTTGATGTGCTTTTCCCTTATGCCAGAAGGAGCTTGGACTGGATGGCCCTTGGAGGTCTCCCTACTCTAGGATTCTATTACTACTATTATTAATAACATTATTATTAAACAGAGTCTCTATGGCAGGGGTCCTCAAACTAAGGCCTGGGGGCCGGATGAGGCCATCCAAGGTCATTTACCCGGCCCTCGCTCAGGGTCAACCTAAGTCTGAAATGACTTGAAAGCACACAACAACAACAACAACAACAACAACAACAATCCTATCTCATCAGCCAAAAGCAGGCCCACACTTCCCACTGAAATACGAATAAGTTTATAGAACCTAGTGATTCCAGCCATGAAAGCCTTTGACATTACATTGAATAAGTTTATATTTGTTAAAATTGTTCTTCATTTTAATTATTGTATTGTTTTAAAGTGTTTTTTGCACTACAAATAGGATATATGCAGTGTGCATAGGAATTCATTCATGTTTTTTTCAAATTATAATCCGGCCCTCCCAACAGTTTGAGGGACTGCGACCTGGCCCTCTGTTTAAAAAGTTTGAGGACCCCTGCTCTATGGCTATCTGTTAGGAGTGCTTGGGTTGTGTTTTTCCCTTATGGCAGAGGGAGGTTGGACTGGATGGCCCTTGGAGGTCTTTTGCAACACTAGGATCCTATTACTGTGAATTCTTCCCAAACCCCTCCATTTTCTGCTGGTCATGGAGGTTTGTGTGCCAAGTTTGGTTCAGATCTGTCATTAATGGGGGTTTTAGTGGTCTGTGGAAGTCTGAGCTGAATCAGTTGAAGGTACTCCAAATCCCATCATCCATTGTCCATACTCCCCAAACTTATTGTTTTTGTGATTAATCAGTATGTTTTAATTTTGTTAAATTTATAACAACAGATATACAATGTATTCTCGAAGACCTTCAACATAAATACATCTTGCGTATTAGATATTTACATGATGATTCAGAACAGTAGCAAAATTACAGTTATGAAGGAGCAACGAAAATAGTATTATGGTTGGGGGTCACCACAACATGAGGAACTGCATTAAGAGGTTGTGGCATTAAAAAAGTTTAGAAACGCTGCTCAAGACATTCTATAAAAATAAATAAAATACTGTCCATGCATTTATGATTAACATAAATCAAAAACCACTGGACGAATAGACACCAAATTTGGACAAAATACATATATCAGGCCACCAAGTGACCATCACTCATAAAAACACTGAAAAACACAGCAAAAGAGACAAAAAGCCCAAAAAAAATTACAATGAATGTGCAAAACAACATATTTACACAGATACACAAATATATACACAAACATATATACATATATACACACACAAAATACATATACACAGACTGGGCCACAGCAACGCGTGGCAGGGGACAGGTAGTTATATACACACACAAAATACATATACATAGACTGGGCTACAGCAATGCGTGGCAGGGGACAGGTAGTATATATACACACACACACATATACACAGACTGGGCCACAGCAACGCGTGGCAGGGGACGGGTAGTATATATACACACACACACATATACACAGACTGGGCCACAGCAAAGCATGGCAGGGGACAGGTAGTATATACACACACACACACACACACAAAACACATATACACAGACTGGGCCACAGCAACGCGTGGCAGGGGACAGCTAGTACTAGATAAGTTTTTGAACAGAGGTTGGAGGATTCTGAACCTCTGTTGGGTGGCCATCTGTCGGGAGGGATTTGTATCTTCCTTAATGACAGAATGGGGTTGGACTAGATGCCCTTTGGGGCCCCTTCCAACCGTCGTGGTACAGATTGCATTGGAGTCCAGTGGAGTTTCCTATGGAGGTTTTTAACTGAAGTCTGGATGGCCATCTGTTGGGAGGACTTTGATTGTGCCCTCTTTAATGGCAGAATGGGGTTGGACTAGATACCCTTTGGGAGTCTCTCTGAACCTTTGTTTGTGGAGGTGGGAAAGGGGGGGGGTGACACTCCTAGGGATTCAAAGAAATGGAGCAGAGTTAGAAAATCTAATTGGTTGAAAAATTGCATATTGCAATGCTAGAACTGAATAATAGATGGCACCAAAACGACAGGGGTGAAAAAGTAGAACTCAATGTTGTTGCATCTTGCAATGCCAGGACTAAATACTAGATGGCATGGTGTCAACAATGGATGGAAAAAGCTCTCCTTACCAGATCAATGTCCTGGCCTAGGTCCTGCTCCGGCTCCCTTTCAATGGGCTCTGAGGAGCGGGACAGAGCCGGCTCCAGATAGGCCTCCTCCAGTTCATGGTCCGTATAGGGCTCCCCTTCGGCGTCCGTCTCCTCGTAGTCACTGTTGGCCCGGCTGTCGCAGGTCAAGTAGCCCGGAGCCGGGGCCGAAGCCTGGTTCAGCATCTCCAAGCCTTCCTCGGCCGAGACGTCCACCTGATGGGAGAGGAAGAAAATGAAATGGAAAAGAAAATAATAAGAATCTTAGAGTTGGAAGGGGCCCCCAGAGGTCATCCAGTCCAACCTCTTAAGAGATAGTTAAATAGATAGAATCCTATTTCTCCATGTCTTCTTGCATTAAAGGGGCTGGACTGGATGCCCTCTGGGGGACCCTTCCATCTTTAGGATCCTATTGCCCTATTTCCCCATGTCTTTTCGCATCAAAGGGGCTAGACTGGGTGCCCTCTGGTAGTCCTTTCCAGCTCTATTTTATATAATAATATAACAATATAATAATATATTATATAATAATATAATATTATAATAATTTTGAAAAATTGTATGCTGGTGCTTTTATGTTAAGCATCTTCCTGCAGGAGAGATAAGGCACAGTATTATTATTATTATTATTAATAATAATAATAATAATAATAATAATTGTATGCTAATGCTTTTATGTCAAGTCGTTTTGTGTCTCCTTCAGGAGAGATAAGGCAGGGTATAGATAAACAAAATAATCTATATAAATAAAAATGTAATGTTCATTTGTGGGATTAACAGAACTCAAAAACCACTGGGGGAATTGACACCAAATTTGGACACAAGATACCTAACAACTCAATCTATGTCCTTCACTCAAAAAAATTGATTTTGTCATTTGGGAGTTGTAGTTGTTGGGATTTATAGTTCACCTACAATCAAAGAGCATTCTGAACTCAATCAATGATGGAATCGAATCAAAATTGGGACACGGGACTCCCATGACCAACAGAAAACACAAGAAGGGTTTGGTGGGCATTGATGTTGAGTTTGGGAGTTGTAGTTCACCTACATCCACAGAATACAATGGACACAAACAATGATGTATCTGGACCAAACTCTACACAAATGCTCAATATGCCCAAATGTGACCACTGTTGGAGTTTGGGGAAAATAGAATCTTGACATTTGGGAGTTGCTGGGATTTATAGTTCATCTAGAATCACAGAGCATTCTGAACCCCACCAACGATAGAATTGGGCCAAACCTCCCACACAGAAACCCCATAACCACCAGAGTGGGCCACAGCAACGTGTGGCAGGGGACGGCTAGTTATATAATAATACGTTATATCATAACAACAACAACAACAACAACAACAATAATAATAATAATATGCTGGTGCTTTATGACAAGCCATTTTGAGTCTCTGACAGGAGAGATAAAGTGGGGTAATAATAATAATAATAATACCATGTCTTCTTGCATTAAAGGGACTGGACTAGATGGTCTCTGGGTGTCCCTTCTAGGATCCTATTTCCCTATTTCCTCATGTCTTTTTGCATCAAAGGGGCTGGACTGGGTGCCCTCTGGTGGTCCCTTCCAGCTCTATGATCCTATATTATATCATAGAATCATAGAATCAAAGAGTTGGAAGAGACCTCATGGGCCATCCAGTCCAACCCCTTTCCAAGAAGCAGGAATATTGCATTCAAATCACCCCTGACAGATGGCCGTGTGTCCTACGGAGCCCACTCACCTGCTCCTGGGTGGTCCACACGGGCCGGCTCTGCTGGTCGCGGAGGACCTCCTTGAGGCGCTGGAGCCAGGCATCGGAGCCGTCAGCCAGGCTGATGGTGGCGCTGAAGAGATGGCTCCAGTGCTGGCGCAGCCTCTTGGCCTGCGCATAGAGACGCCGGGAGCTCTTGCGGGAGTCCGGGGCCAGCCATTTGCGCATGGCCTTCACCCCCTGGCGGCTCTGCGGCTCCAGGAAGACCACCACCGGGAAGTACTGGACGTAGTTGAGCCGCTCCACCGCGGCCGGAGTGATGTCCAGCAGCGCATGCTTGCCCTGTGAAGAGAGCAAGCTTTGATGGAGTAAGATGCCACTCTGCTTATATTATTATTATTATTATTATTATTATTATTATTATTATTATTATTATTATTATAAACACAACAAGATGAGTCCACAGCAAACAATATCACTATGCTGGTTGTTGTATAGGATCACACGTCGGACACTTCCCAAGTGTCTAGGACTATGTGATGTATCAGCGAATAATGCATACAGATCCCAGTAAGGTGGCCTTTTGCAGCTGACAGATGGTAATTTTGTCAGCACCGATTGTGTTTCAGTGCAGGCCAAGGTCTTTAGGCACTGCACCCAGTGTGCCGATCCTCACTGGGGCCACCTTGACTGGCTTGTGCCAGAGTCTTTTGCAGTTCGATCTTTAAATCCTCATATTGTGTCAGCTTTTCCACTTGTTTGTCTTTATTATTATTATTATTATTATTATTATTATTATTATTATTATTATTATTGGAGCCTAGAGGGTTTGTTGTTGTAGTAGTTGTCATTATATGATATAATAATAAAATAATATGAAATAATATAATAATGGAATTGTCTTTAAGAGAAAAAAGTTGTATATAATAATGATAATAACATTGATGATAGATCATAATAATAATTATAATAATAATGTTYATGACAGAGTAGCATTATTATTATTATTATTATTATTATTATTATTATTATTATTATTATTATTATTATTGGAGCCCAGAGGGTTTGTTGTAGTAGTAGCTGTTGTAATTATATAATATAATAATAAAATAATATGAAATAATAATAATAATAATGGAATTGTCTTTAAGAGAAAAAAAGTTGTATATAATATTGATAATAACATWGATSATAGATCATAATAACTATAATAATAATGTTGATGACAGAGTAGCATTATTATTGTTGTTGTTGTTGTTGTTGTTYTTATTATTATTATTATTATTATTGGAGCCTAGAGGGTTTGTTGTTGTAGTAGTTGTTYTCATTATATAATATAATAATAAAATAATATGAAATAATAATAATAATAATAATAATTGAATTGTCTTTAAGAAAAAAAAGTTGTATATAATAATGATAATAACATTGATGATAGATCATAATAATAACTATAATAATAATGTTGATGACAGAGTAGCCTTTCAGAGGAAAAAGTGGTATGTAATAACAATAACAATGCTATGACTTAGTGAAACTACATCTCCCACCTGCTTAGCAATTTGCCAAACGGAGTCCAGCTTGATCACTTTGGCGGAGCCATCGTCTCTGGCGATGCTCTCTGTCAAAAACGAAGAGGAAAATAACACTCAAAATAAGGCTAATAACAACAACAATAATTTTAATACTAATAATATTCATAATACTAAAAATAACGTTAATAGTAATAATTTAAAGCTATACACATTATAAAAGTGGGCAGGGTGTCCACTTACACAGACAGGCTCCTGCCTCCACAAACAACTATAGCTCCCAGCACTCTGGAGACACCAATGGCCCTCCCTCCAGGTTATAGTGAGCGCCACGAACATGTCCTCCACAAACACCACACTGCCCACCACCCAATATATAGGATGTATAGGAGTTGTAGTTCACCTACATCCAGAGCGCAGTATGATGGATCTGCACCAAACTTGGCATGCATTCCCGATATGCCCAAATTTGAATACTGGTGGGTTTTGAGGGGAATTGGTCTGGACATTTGGGAGTTGTAGGTACTGGGATGTATAGTTCACCTGCAATCAGTGAGCACTCAGAACTCCACCAAAGATGGAATTGGACCAAACTTGGCACACAGAGCCAAGAATACTGACGGTCTTTGGGGAAAATTCACTTTGATTTAGGGGAGTTGTAGTTCACCTACATCCAGAGAGTATTGTGAACCCAAACACCGACAGATCTGGACCAAACTTGGTACACAGACTGGATATGCCAAAATTTGGTTAATGTAGGGGTGTGAGGGGAACTGACCTTCCTTTCTGGGAGTTGTAGTACACCCACAACCATAGAAACGGTGAGCTCCACTGATGATGGACATGGACCTGGACCAGACTTGGCACACAGAACCCCCATGCCTAGCTCAACCTACTGGAAGGGTATGAGGGGACTGACACACCATAGTAGGAGTTGTAGTTCACCCACAACCTTCTGCATTTTCTACTGGAAGCATTCATAAAAAACAAAACCAACCCCGTTAATCTGGACTCCAAAAGAAGATTTGAGCCCATCTCACCCGCAATTTCGAACTCCTCCGGCATTTCGGTGCTCAGCTTTTGCATGGCGATGTCCGTGATCGGCCCCAGGATCACCACCGGGCGCTTAAATGTGGCTGCAAAATAAAAGGCACAAAACAAAACCCAGGTTTCTAGTCCATGTGGAGGTAGAGCAAGAAGGGAGACAGACAGGGTGAACAAAGCTTGGAAGGGGGTCTGCAGAGGCCATCTAGTCCAATGCAGAACTTCCAGCCAAAGCATCCTCCTCTTCCTGGAGTAATGCAGGAAGGGATCGCATTGGCCTTTTCCACCGCCGCATCATGCTCTTGGCTCACCTTCCTTGAGTACAACCCTTTCGTAGGGCGGGTAGTGGCCCTGCTTGGTGAGGGCCGACAAGTCCTCCCGGCTCTTCCGCAGCAGCGTACGCTTGGCCCCCCGCAGACCCCGTAGCTTCCAGAACTCGGCCCTTGCTGCAGAGATGGGGTTGGAGGTGGAGGAGGCTTTGAGGACCGACTCCAGGCTGGCAATTTGCTCCGCTCTGAGAAACACAGGAAGCAGAGGGTTGGAAGAGAGCCCAAAGGTCATCTAGTCCAAACCCATTTGCTCATGGAATAATCATAGACTCTTAAGGGTTGGAAGGGGACCCCAAAGGTCATCTAGCCCAGCCCCATTTGGCCAGTGAGTAATTATAGACTTAAGAGTTGAAAGGGGACTCCAAAGGTCATCTAGTTCAACCCCTTTTAGCTATGGAATAATCATAGACTCTTTAGAGTTGGAATGGGACCCCAAAGGTCATCTAGTCCACCCACTTTTGGTCATGGAGTAATCATAGATTCTGAAGAGTGGAAAGGGGACCACCAAAGGTAATCTAGTTCAAACCCTTTTAGCTATGGAATAATCATAGACTCTTTAGAGTTGGAATGGGACCCCAAAGGCCATCTAGTCCACCTCCTTTTGGTCATGGAGTAATCATAGATTCTGAAGAGTGGAAAGGGGACCACCAAAGGTCATCTAGTCCAACCCCATTTGGTCAGTGAGTAATCATAGACTCTTAAGAGTTGGAAGGGGATCCCAAAGGTCATCTAGTCCAGCCCCATTTGGTCATGGAGTAATCATAGACTCTTAAGAGTTGGAAGGGGATCCCAAAGGTCATCTAGTCCAACCCCATTTGGTCATGGAGTAATCATAGACACTTAAGAGTTGGAAGGGGACCCCAAAGGATGTCTAGTCCCACCTGCTCTGGTTTGGGATGATGCCCTTGTCCAGCCTTTGGAACTCCTTGCCCATCCGGACAGCCAGCCAGCTGCCCACTTTGCCCCGGTACATGGTGTCCGTTACGTGGAAGACCTCCCCACGTGTGAAGCTCAGGCCGGAAGGTGTGTCCTTCTCGAAATCAAAGTGGGTGCGGATGTAGAAGGAGTCGCCCACGTTGGACTTGACCATCTTTGCATAGACTGCAGGGAAAGGGCAGAAATCATGGAATGGGGTCAAAGGCTCTTGGGGGGGGTAGCAACTTCTGCGGCAAAAATGGGTATGCAATATATGCACCTAGATAGAGGGAGGGAGGGAAGGAAGGAGAGAAGGAGTAAGAGAAAGAGGGAAAGAAGGAGAGAAGGGGAAAAAAAGAAAGGTAGAGAAGGYAGGGAGGAGAGAAAGAGGGAGGGAGGGAAGGAAGGAAGGAGACAAGGAAGGATGGAACCAAAGAGCAAAGGAAGTGAGAAAAGAAAGGAAGAAAGAAGAAGAGAAAGAAAAAGAGGGAAGGAAGGAAGGAAGGAAGGAAAGAGGGAGGGAAGGAAGGAAGGAAAGAAGGGAAAGAAAAAGAAGGAAGGAAGGAAAGAAAGAAAAAGAGAGAAAGAGGGAGGGAAGGAATGAAGGAAGGAAAGAGACAAGGAAGGATGGAACCAAAGAGCAAAGGAAGTGAGGAAAGAAACAGGAAGAAAGAAGAAGGGAAAGAAAAAGAAAGGAGAGAAAGAGGGAGGGAAGGTTGGCCACAGCAACGCTTGGCGGGTACAGCTAGTGTGGTAAATAAACAGTATGGATAGATGTTAGCTGCCCTGAGTCCCCATAGAGAGAAAGACAGTATATAAATAAAGATATTAATAATAATAATAATAATAATAATAATAATAATAATAATAATAATAGATCGATCGATCGATCGATCGATAGATAGATAGTTGGATAGATAGATAATTGGATGGATGGATGGATAGATAGATAGATAGATAGATAGATGAGAGAGAAAAGCAGACAGTGGGATGGATAAAGAAAGAGGGATAGATGGATAGATAGATGATAGATAGATAGATAGATAGATAGATAGATAGATAGATAAGCAGACTGGGAGGGAAAAAGAGGGAGGGATGGAGATAGGTAGGTGAGAAAAGTAGAGAGCTGCGTCCACTTACTGTCTGGCTTGCTCTGGAGGCAGAAGGCAACTTCCTCCCCAGGGCTGAGCTCCATCAGGAAGGTCACGGCCTCTTCGCGCGTCAGGTGCTGGAAGGGCCTCTCGTTGACCTGGAAGGAGGAGGACTCAGGTGGGTCAAGAGGATGGGAGTCGGAGTCTGTGGCGCTTGGGCTGTGGGGGTGGAGAGGGTGGTGTCGCTTACCTGCAGGACCTGGTCTCCTACCCGGATGCCTTGTCCCTCGGCTGGGCTCCCTTCCTGGACTCCGGCCACAAAGATCCCCACATCGTTGCCGCCGGCAAGACGCAGGCCGATGCTCCGGGCTTTGATGAATCGGACCACTTTGGAGTCCGGGCTGTACCTGGAAGTGGAGAAGGAGCCTCAGGAAGGGATCGAGTGGCTTGATGTTATTACCACCGCCGCCTTCCAAAGCATCCCATCTATGACCCTTACCCATAAATGTCACTGCTCTGGGGGTCGCCAACCTCCTCTTGGGAGATATAGTTGTTCTCCGGGATTTTTGGGACCTCTAGAAAGGCAAGGATACAAGAGTTAGCTCCACAGCTGTAGTTTATTTTTCTAATATGCAGCAAGAAAAGTTGTAGAACTCACCAAAAATAGGAATCGGAGTCAATTCCTTTGCCGGACGTTGTTTCTTGCTGGAGCGCCTCCTTGGTCTGGAATGGGAAAAGATGGGGAGAAAATTGAGTTATTTCCACAGTGCAGATGAACCGAAGGAGAGTGGGATAAAATCACCAATAAATCCACTTACGGAACATCATCACGAAGAGGAGGTTCGGGGGAGTGCTGAGGCGGCGGCGAAACGTCGGACCCGATATCAGAGATATCTGGAAGGAAACCAAGAGAAAAGAAGAGTTTGTTAGAATAGAATCCCTTCCTTTACACCTTTTTAGAGAGGAATTGGGGGGAATGGAGCACTTCCCATAGTTCTTCATGGCTGCTTTTGGAATGACTACTGCAATGCACCCAATACGGGGCTGCCTGGGAGACTGTGTTGTTGAAAAATCTTTAGTCCCAAAATAAGAAAAAGTGAGGTATAAACATAATACTAATAATAATAATAGTTTTGAATGGCTGTCAAAGGGGGTAAAATGCCTTGTACTGTATTGCTTGCTGATGTCGGCTTCCTTTAGAGCGGAGACTCTGTGTCCGACATCCTTTCAGGCTTGAAAGTAAATAATCCTCTGTTTTTTGAGTACAAACATTGGGAAACACAAGGCTGGCAAATAAAAGGGTATCCCACGTCACGAAGGATTTCCCCAACTCCTGTTGTTCCCTCACCGTCCAAGTGGGAGCTCTCGCCCTCGCTCTCCTCCACTTCAGGGATGTTGACCAGAAAGTGGGTGTCGTCCCGTACGACATACAGCGTGAGACGGCCTTCCGACCCTTCAATCAAGTGCCGGGTCTCTTCCAGGGACAGGTTTTCGCTGGACACGCCATTGATCTGTGAGGGATTTGGAAGGGTTTCAGAGTTGGAAGAGACCCCCAAGAGTCATCCAGTTCAATCACCCTTCTGCCATCAGAGAAGACATAACCAAAATCTTCTGGACCGATGGCCATCCAGCTTCGAATCCTCTCCCACCTTTAAGATGAGGTCCCCTTCTTGCAAGTTGCGATCCTTTGCTGCGAGACCCGTATCCCGGATGTGTTTGATAAAGATCTGGCTCCCGAGTTTCAATCCATATTCTTTGTTTTTTGGGAAGGAAAGAAGCAAAGGCAAATGGTCAGCAAAATCAAAGTGAGTCTGGAGTCATTCTATGGTTGAATCCTAACAAACCAATTATTCTATGAGTATAAGTATGAGTATGAATCTAGAAGTATGAGTCTATGACCCTGTGAGTCTATGAATCTATGATTCTGAGTCTGTGAATCCATGAGTATATTAATATGATTCTATGAGTCTATAATGCTGTAAGTCTATGACTATGTGAGTCTATGATTCTATGAGTATAAGTTTAAGTTTATGAGTATAAGTTTATGAGTCTACATGTCCATGATTCTGAATCTATGATTCTGTGAGTATGTCTATAGCAGTATTTCTCAACCTTCCTAATGCCACGACCCCTTAATACAGTTCCTCATGTTGTGATGACCCCCAACTATCACATTATTTTCATTGTTAATTCAGAACTAATTTTGCTCTTGTTATGAATCATCATGTAAATATCTGAGATGCAGGATGTATTATCATTAACTGGATGACATTTGGCACAAATCCCTTATATGCCCAAATTTGAATATTGGTGGGGTTGGGGGGGTTGATTTTGTCATTTGGGAGTTGTAGTTGCTGGGATTTATAGTTCACCCACAATCAAAGAGCATTCTGAACTCCATCAATGATGGAATTGGGCCAAACTTGGCACACAGAACCCCCATGACCTACATAAAATACTGGAAGGGTTTAGTAGGCATTGACCTTGAGTTTTGGAGTTGTAGTTCACCTACATCCAGAGAGCACTGTGGACTCAAACAAGGATAGATCCAGACCAAACTTGGCACGAATATTCAATATGCTTAAGTGTGAATATTGGTGGAGTTTGGGGAAAATAGACCTTGACATTTGGGAGTTGTAGTTGCTGGGATTTATATTTCACCTACAATCGAAGAGCACTCTGGACCCCACCAACGAGAGAATTGGGCCAAACTTCTCACACAGAACCTCCATGACCAACAGGAAATGATATGTTTTCTGATGGTCTTTGGCGACCCCTCTGACACCCCTTCACGACCCCCAGGTTGAGAAACACTGGTCTATAGTATGAATCTGAGTCTATGATTCTGTAAGTCTATGAGTATGAATCTCTGAGTCCAAGTTTATGTCTCTGTGAGTCTACGCATCTATAATTTTATGAGTCTGAATCTATGACTTTGGAAGTCTATGAATCTATGATTCTATGAGTATAAGTCTTTGAGTCTGAGTCTATGACTGTGTGAGTATATGCGTCTATAATTCTGAGTCTGAGTCTATAATTCTATGAGTATGGATCTATGAGTCTATCAGCCTGAGTATGATTCTCTGAGTCAATGATTCTATAAGTCTGTGATTCTATAGAAGCTCTGGGACAAAGGAGAACGTAATGCCGAGGGCGCCTTCACCTTCGCTATCCTTGCTCTTGACCAGAACAGAGCGCAAGGGCTTCATTGGAACGTCGTCCTGCTTTGGCAGCCGCTTGAACCCAGACATCAGGGCCAGGCCTCCAGCATAGCCGTTGGTGACAGGTGGCCCATCCGACCCACTATCGCGGCTCCTTCGGCGGTGGCCCCCATCATGGCTGCGCCTCCGGTTGCGGATGGGCTGTCGTCGGGGGCCGTCGGCCTCGTCCCGGTAGCGCCCAGAGCTCCGCTCACTGGAGGAGTCCCCCTCATAGCCACGGTTGTGGTCCGCCTCCCAATGGCGTCCTCCGCCACGGCGAAAGCTGCCCTCCTCATCCGAATCCCTGTCGTGGCGGACTTCTGGGGAGCGTGGGGCAGGGCTGCTTTGGGGTTGGCTGGGCCTGGAAGCCGGGAGGTGGATTTTACGGGGCCGCTTTACCGTCTGCAAAGAAAAAAGGAGAACCCACTCAAAAATCTCCACATTAACGAGCCCAATTATGCATAAGCTGTATATGGAAAATCAATACATTTTATAACTGGATGCATCTACACTGGGGTCAGATTTCATTCATTCATCTTTCTCTTTACATAGTCTTTCTCTCTCTATGCCCTCTTGTAGCTGTATCTGAGCACTGCATCTATACATAGCTATAGACCAGTAATCCTTTCTCTATATATACTGCCCTCTATGGCAGCATCTCAGCTGTGAATAATACATACATCCCTAAAGGTCAATAGTTAATCCTACACTGCCCTCTTGTGGTTGCATTTGAGCACTGCATAAATACAAACCAGTTAGCTTCTTTTTATTATTTTTTTTGGTCGTGTCAGGAGCGACTTGAGAAACTGCAAGTCACTTCTGGTGTGAGAGAATTGGCCGTCTGCAAGGACATTTCCCAGGGGATGCCCGGATGAATGGATGTTTTTATCATCCTTGTGGGAGGCTTCTCTCATGTCCCCGCATGAGGAGCTGTAGCTGATAGAGAGCTCATCCGCCTCTCCCCGGATTCAAACCTGTGACCTGTCGGTTTTCAGTCCTGAGTGCTGCATGCAGACATTCCCAACTATTCGCTTTTGGAACGCCCAAATTCTGTACTCACAATATTGGCCACTCGGCCGCAGGTTTTCAGCGTCTGGATGGCAAAGGAGGAGGAGACATTATCCATGGAGAGGCCGTTGACCATGGCAATCTTGTCCCGGGTCCTGCCCAAGAAAAAGAAAAACATGGAAGGAGATGGCTGAGAGCACAGCACCAAACAGGGCTGTCAGAAATATTAAAAATTAACTAGGTATTTTTAATTGCAAAAATGTGAGTCAAGCACTGAAAGAGTGAGTAGGCCGAAGCATGTAGAGTCCGTGGGCCAAAGCTAGTGTCGTCCTGAGGAGTGTGAGTGGGCCGAAGTCTGTTAGAGTCAGTTGGCCAAAGCTAGTGTCGTCCTGAGGAGAGTGAGTAGGCAGAAACCTGTTAAGAGTCCGTGGCCCAAAGACAGGGTCATCCTGAAGAGAACGAGTAGGCAGAAGCCTGTTAGAGTCCGTGGGCCAAAGGTAGTGTCGTCCTGAGTACAGCAAGTAGGCTGAAGCCTGTTAGAATCACTGGGCCAACACTAGTGTCGAACTGAGGAGAGCGAGTAGGCCGAAGTCTGTTAAAGTCAGTGGGCCAAAGCTAGTGTTGTCCTGAGGAGAACAAGTAGGCCGAAGCCTGTTAGAGTCAGTGGGCCAAAGCTAGTGACGTCCTGAGTAGAGTGAGTAGCCCAAAGTCTGTAAGAGTCAGTGGGCCAAAGCTAGGGTTGTCCTGATGAGAGCGAGTAGGCCGAAATCTGTTAGAGTCCGTGGGCCAAAGCTAGTGTTGTCCTGAGGAGGAGTGTGAGTAGGCCAAAGCCTGTTAGAGTCAATTGGCCAAAGCTAGTGTTTTCCTGAGGAGTGTGAGTAGGCCAAAGTCTGTCAGAGTCAATTAGCCAAAGCCTGTTAGAGTCAGTGGGTCAAAGTTAATGTCGTCCTGAGTACAAGCCTGTTAGAATCACTGGGCCAACGCTAGTGTCGAACTGAGGAGAGTGAGTGGGCTGAAGTCTGTTAGAATCAGTAGGCCAAAGCTAGTGTTGTCCTGAGGAAAGCAAGTAGGCTGAAACCTGTTAGTCAGTGGGCCAAAGCTAGCATCGTCATGAGGACAGTGAGTAGGCTGAAGTCAGTGGGCCAAAGCCAGGGTCGTCCTGAGGAGAGCGAGTAGGCCAAAGCCTTTTTGAGTCAGTGGTCAAAGTTAATGTCGTCCTGAGTACAGCAAGTGGGCTGAAGCCTGTTAGAATCACTGGGCCAACGCTAGTGTTGAACTGAGGAGAGTGAGTAGGCTAAAGTCTGTAAGAGTCAGTGGGCCAAAGACACGGTCGTCCCGAGGAGAGCAAGTAGGCCGAAGCCTGTTAGAGTCCGTGGGCCAAAGCTAGTGTCGTCCTGAGGAGAGTGAGGTAAACCTCTGTGTGAGAGAAGCCCTGTGTGAGAAAGCTCCAGTTTGAAGGCTGCTGCATGTAAAGCTACTGTGCATTTGTTTATTTGTGTTATGGAAACCTTGTTGTAAATAGTGCAGCCATGTTATTTTACTACAAAGAGAAGCCTTCTATGGAAGAGATAACCTTGGTCTGTGTGTTTTTGTTCTTTTTATCACTTTGGGTTGATGGTAGTGGCTCATCCTGCTGCTGCTAAGTTACTCTGCTGTACATGTATGAGGAGGGTCTTTTGTTAATAAGCCCACTCGCCCAACAAGGGCATTCCAGGGGCTGTCTACACAGCGGAATTAATGCAGTTTGGGTTTGGACTCACTGCAGTCGACCATCCGCTGGCCCTCCAGGGACGACGTCGGAGACGATGATCGAGACATCTCTGTCGGAAGCACTGGGGCGATCCCGGCCTCCTGAGATGGCAAGGCCAAAGCCCTTCCGGGGATCCTGTGCGGAAGGATGAAACAGAGAGCCATTGCTTACAATGGAAGACCTGGAACATTTCTAGAGAGGATACTATAGTACACAGTCACATTGGAAGACCTTGAGAATTCCTAGAAAGGATACTATAGTATACAATCACCTATTATTATTAAAAGTCGGGTGCATTACTCACTCGATTGAGGGTTATTGTGTACTGCTCCCAGATCACCATTTCCTCCATGTCGGCAACCTGCAAAAGTCAAGGATAAATAGGATGACATGATTATATATTAGACTAGCCCAGCATTGCCTTGGTATGTATCTTTCATTTGCGATCTCTCCCTCTGGAGAACCTTTCTATCTATATACTGCCCTCTTCTGGCTGCACCAAAGTATTGCATACAGCCATACCTAGAGGTCAGTAGCTAATCCTTTCTATCTCTATACCATCCTCTTGTGGTTGAATTTGAGAAATAAATATATCCAAAGAAATACAGAAATAAATAATATAAATACTTAAATTTATATAGACCAGCGGCTTATCCTTTCTATCTGAATACTGCCCTCTTGTGGTTGAATTTGAGAAATACATATAAATACAAATAAATACATATAAATACAAATACAAATAAATAATATGAATACATACACAAATATATAAACAAATACACAAATCAATCTAGACCAGTAGCGAATCCTTTCTATTTCTATACTGCCCTCTTGTGTTGAGTTTGAGAAATACATAAATATATACAAATAAATAATATAAACACATACACAAATATATAAACAAATACACAAATCAATCTAGACCAGTAGTGAATCCTTTCTATTTCTATACAGCCCTCTTGTGGTTGAATTTGAGAAATACATTAATATATATAAATAAATAATATAAACACATACACATATAAACAAATACACAAATCAATATAGACCAGTAGGTTATCCTTTCTATCTCTATACCATCCTCTTGGGGTTGAATTTGAGAAATAAATATATAGAAATAAATACACAAATAATATAAATAAAATAATATAAACACACAAATAATATAAATATACAAATTAACATAAACCAGTAGCTTATCCTTTATATCTCTATACCGTCCTCTTGTGGTTGAATTTGAGAAATAAATATATACAAATAAATACACAAATAAATAATATAAATACACAAATCATAGGCATAACCTCCTGGGGAGGGGGTGTGGCCTCCTGGGAAGCCACTCCCATTGGCAAAACAAGAGAACATTCCTAACTAGACAATGCGAAAATATGTATGTACGTATGTTTGTTTTGCAAAAGCTCCTTCCATTCCAGTCCTTTCTATCTCTATAATACCCTCTTGTGGCTGCCTATTTATTAATTTTTGGGGTCCTACCCCCAAATGGGTTTTGTTAAAAGTTGAAACCATGACAATATTTTAAGTTGGATCACGAAGGGTCTGTGTACCAAGTTTGGTCCCGATCCACCGAGCGATGGAAGAGCGTTTGCAAAACAAACATACGTACTTTCACATTGTCTAGTTGGGAATGTGCTCTTGTTTTGCCAATGGGAGTGGCTTCCCAGGAGGCTATGCGCCTCCCCAACTTGAATGTCCTCCAAGCTTTTGAGTTCAGGCCCAAAGCAAATACTCATCCTCTAAACTTGCTGACGACACTTATCAGGAAACACCGGAGGGCACCGGTGCAGATAAGAAAAAGACAGGCATTCCTCTCCTTTTGAATATGCGGGAATGAAGGAAGGAGGAACAAAATGACACACCAGTTCCTTAAGACCTTTCACTTTCCAGACCTGTGCTACGGTGGTGAAAGAGCAAATGTGATTCTAGGAAGAGATGGCCATCTGTCAGGAGGGATTAATCTATATAAATAAAAATGTAATGTTCGTTTGTGGGATTAACAGAACTCAAAAACCACTGGACGAATTGACACCAAATTTGGACACAAGACACCTAACAACCCAATGTATGTCCTTCACTAAAAAAATGATTTTGTCATTTGGAAGTTGTAGTTGCTGGGATTTATAGTTCACCTACAATCAAAGAACATTCTGAACCCCACCAACGATGGAACTGAACCAAACTTGGCACACAGTTCTCCCATGACCAACAGAAAATACTGGAAGGGTTTGGTGGGCAGTGTCCTTTGGTTTTGGAGTTGTAGTTCACCTACATCCAGAGATCGCTGTGGACTCAAACAATGATGGATCTGGACCAAACTCTACAAGAATACTCAATATGCCCAAATGTGAACACTGGTGGATGTTTGGGGAAAATAGAATCTTGACATTTGGGAGTTGTAGTTGCTGGGATTTATAGTTCATCTACAATCACAGAGCATTCTGAACCCCACCAACGATAAAATTGGGCCAAACTTCCCACACAGAACACCCATGTGGGCCACAGCAACGAGTGGCAGGGGACGGCTAGTAATAATAATAATAAACTTTATTTATTTCCTGCCACCATCTCTCTGAAGGGATTAAAAATGACTCAAGAGTAAAGGTCAAGGCCTGTCTAAAAAACCGAGTTTTTAGACTAGCAGAAAAAGCTTGGAGAGTGGGGCTGATCTAATCTCTTTAGGGGGGCATTCCAGAGCCGGGGAGCCACCACTGAGAAGGCCCTCTCTCTCGTCCCCACCAACCGGGCTTGAGACGACAATGGGACCAAGAGATCTGCCGGGGAGGCCCTTCTCTTGGTCCCATTGGCGTCTCAAGGAGATGCAATCTTAAAGATAGGTTGGACCCAAAGCACATAGGGCTTTGTAGCTGATAACTTACACTCTGGATTAGGACCGGAAACTTGTTGGCAGCAGGTGGTGCTGCTTTAATAGGGACATGGTATGCTCCCTATTAGGAGCCCCCGTGTTGCAGTGGGTGAAACTGCTGAGCTGCTGAACTTGCTAACTGAAAGGTCGCCAGTTCGAATCCGGGGAGCGGCATGAGCTCCTGTTGTTAGCCCCAGCTTCTGCCAACAAATGTGAATAGATGAATAGGTACCACTGCAACAGGAAGGTAACGGCACTCCATGCAGTCATGCCGGCCACATCAACTTGGAGGCATCTATGGACAATGCCAGCTCTTCGGCTTCGAAATGGAGATGAGCAGAAACTCCCAGAGTCGGACACAACTGGACTTAATGTCAGGGGAAAATCTTTACCTTACCTATGCTCCCTATAAGCAGCCCTAGTTAGTAATCTGGCTGCCAATCTTTGCCCCAATTGCAAGTTCTGAGCTGTCTTCAAAGGCAGCCCCACATAGAGTGCATTGCAGTAGTCCATACGGGATGTAATTGATAGTCTCCTACCACTTAGTCAAGGAGAGTTTCATTGGCCATCAGGTCAGTAAGAGAGTGTCCAGGAGATAATGGTGATGATGATGATGATGATGATGAGAAGAAGAAGAAGAAGAAGAAGAAGAAGAAGAAGAAGAAGAAGAAGAAGAAGAAGAAGAAGAAGAAGAAGATGATGATGATGATGAAGAGGACATATGGATCGTTGATGTTGCAATCCCAGGTGACAGCAGGGATGACGGGAAGCAACTGGAAAAGCTGACACGATATGAGGATTTAAAGATTGAACTGCAAAGACCCTGGCACAAGCCAGTCAAGGTGGTCCCAGTGGTGATTGGCACACTGGGTGCAGTGTCTAAAGACCTTGGCCTGCACTTAAAAACAATCGGCGCTGACAAAATCACCATCTGTCAGCTGCAAAAGGCCACTCTACTCGGATCTGCATGCATTATTCACCTATACATCACACAGTCCTAGACACTTGGGAAGTGTCCGACATGTGATTCACTAGTGATCTTGTTTGCTGTGTACAATAATAATAATAATAATAATAATAATAATAATAATAATACTTTATTTGTACCCTGCCACCATCTCCCTGAAGGGACTGGGGCGGCTCACAAAAGCATTCAAGGTTCAACATGCAAAGTGGGGACCTTGGCCTGCACTTAAAAACAATCGGCACTGACAATATTACCATCTGTCAGCTGCAAAAGGCCACCCTACTTGGATTTGCACACATTATTTGTGGATACATCACATAGTCCTAGACACTTGGGAAGTGTCCGACGTGTGATCCATTTCAAAAGCCAGCAGACTGATTTTGTTTGCTGTGCACTAATCCTGTTGTGTATCTAATAATAATAATAATAATAATAATAATAATAATAATAATACTTTTATTTATATCCTGCCACCAAAGGGATTTGGGTCAGTTTACAAAAGCATGTAGCAGTGCAACAGAATACACAAGGTACAGTAAAATACATAAACATGTATAAAACAATAACAATATCAATTAACATAAAATAGATATACATAAAAATAGCAAATAAAAACCCCTACTAATGTAAATAAAATCCTTGCTGAAAAACGCAGCCATAGCTGTGGATTGAAATAGGCCGTATCAATTTCAGTCGCATTAAAGTGCTGGAGCCAAACAATTCGCTTGGTCCTCAAGTTTTAACTGATGTTTTGACCATGTGTGAAGGGTTGTTGTAGGTTTTTTCAGGCTATATGGCCATGTTCTAGAGGCATTTCTCCTGACGTTTCGCCTGCATCTATGCATCTATGGCAAGCATCCTCAGAGGTAGTGAGGAGGCCTGCTGGAAGAGCCATGTTTTCAAGTTTTTCCGAAAACATTGGAGTGTGGGGGCCAGCCTAAGTTCCCTTGGGAGGGCGTTCCAGAGCCGGGGGGGCCACCACCGAGAAGGCCCTCTCTCTCTCTCTCTCTTTCTCTCTCTCTCTCTCATCCCCACCAACTGTGCTTGAGACAGAGGTGGAACTGAGAGAAGGGCCTCTCCGATGGATCTTAGAGCCTGTGCCAGTTCAAAGGGGGAGATGTGGTCATGAACATAGGAAAGACCTAAACCGAGTAGGGCTTTAGAGGACTGGAAACTTGTTGGCAGCCAGTGGAGCTGCTTTAATAAGAGCCTAGCATGCTCCCTATAACTAGCCCAGGTTAGTAGCCTGGCTGTCAACCTTTGCACTAATTGCAGTTTCCGAGCCATCTTCAAAGGCAGCCCCATGTAGAGTGCATTGCAGTATTTATTTATTTACAGTATTTATATTCCGCCCTTCTCGCGCCGCAGAGGACTCAGGGCGGATTACAATGCACATATACATGGCAAACATTCAATGTCATTTAGATATACAATATATATAGACAGACACAGAGGCAATTTAACATTCCAGCTTTTGAGGGTACGCACAGGGAGTAGTTGCCGCTTCACTATC